TATCACAAAGTGAATCCTATACTTCAAACGGACACAGAGGGCAAAAAGACCGCGCCGCAGGTGCCCGGCGGGCAGTGGCGGCGCGGCTTGTCCGCGGCTGCCCGCCGTGGATCATACAAACCAGTTTATTTGCAGTAACGTAGACGGCGGCGCGGGGCGGTCAGCTCAGTCCGCGCCACGCGCTTTTTAGTGATGGACAATTCACTAGAACGAACGTCCTGAACCGAAGACCGCCAGCAATAAAGACCGCCTCTGCCCGTTGTGTGCTTTGTGTACGCGGCGCGGGCAGCCTCAGACATCGACGGGCAGACGCGGTCTTTATTGCTTCGCGGACAAAAAGCCCGCCCCTCCCCGTAGTCTGCTTAGCGCCTTACTGGTTAATTTTCAAACCTAAATCAGTGTCAAGTACATTAGGAGCGTTTTATTTAGGTTTGGCTTTACCTTAACCTTAAAAAAACGGTTTTCCTAAAAAGCGAAAACAAATAGGTTTTGAATCAATTAAGCGGTTTTTAAAGGGTTTCATTTCGCTCTTACTGACTGCTGAAATAAATACACAACTATAAAATGATTAACTTGACTCACTAGACGCTAGCAAACGTGTCAATAAATGCATCAATCTCTGAGCATTAACAAGTTGTGACTTGATTAGTTCAAACAAAACACTTCAAGCGATGCCAACGCGTGCATGTGTCTCTCTGGATTAAACCGGTTTATTAAGGTTTTAGGCATTGTCCTAATACAACGCGATAACGCGAATGAGCGATGCGATCATCGTACGAGTCGACGATCAAACATATTGATCTAGAATAGGTGTCCTAATAGCCGATCGCGCGATGCATTCGTGCGACTAAAATGTTTAAAAATCTATTCGCGCGAACCAAGTTCGCGCGACGATCGCGTCGCGTCGCGTCGATAGGAAGCGGGGAGAGGGGCAGGGCTAACCCGTTCCGTATTCGCGTTCTATTAGGACACCCAGTTCGCGATCACGCGATGGTCGCGTCGTTTAAACGCGCGATGATCGCGTTGTATTAGGACAATGCCTTAGGTACCACTTTCATTTCGGACGCGCTCCGACCGAAACCTTTACTAAAAATCGGTATTAACCTCTATTTACCGGTATTTTTGAAACCGGTTTCAAGCCCTGCCCTATTTAGGTTCACTTGGAATTTAGCTACTAACAAAATAATACATAGTTGACAGTCCGGACACAACTAGATTCAAGTTTTATTATCAATAAATAAATATTTCTTACTCCCACCGACAAATTCAAGTACGTGGCTGCAGCTCCTTAAAGGTAAACCTTACTTTCTCAGACCGACATTAAATATGTAAAACTTACCATTTTTTTAATTTTATAGATAGGTCCGACAAATGACTCCACCCCACCTGTTGTTATGTGAAGGTGAAGTCCAGACGCGAAGATAGCTGATACAGCAGTTCTACCTGCCACACCAGCCATCCTCACCCTGCCGGCCTGCATGTTGCTTCTTCACGCCTCTTTTAAAGGATCCCAGGTTGTAAGAGGGAGGGAACACGTGAGCGGGCAGAGCAATCCATTTACGGATAGTGCGACAAAGAAATGAGTCACCAAATTTCTTTGTACGCGTTCTACCATATCCAAACCCTATGTAGCATTATTAACCTTACTAGAGGAGCGCGACACTTTAGGATAATGTTGGCCATTCCTGCAGTAGTCTGTAAGGTGGAGAGCATTTCTTTCGCTATGGATGGAAGAGGGAGTTTGGGCCATGACACATTACGAGAGCCCAGAAAGGATTGGGGGGTGCTAACGATAATGACTGATGCAGCCGGGACCAACACGCACGTACTTACTTAGATTGAAATTAAAATCAAATTAAAGTCTAAAGAAAATTTTACTAGACAAATTCCGCACCCTTCGCTATCATGCCTAGGCCCAGATAGTGGAGGGTGCGGGTTCGAGTCTCTGAGGATTTTTTTATACTAAAATTTTCTTTACATTTTAACATCTAGCTGTTTAATGCTTTAAGTTCAATTTAAAACGTTATTTTATTTATAATTTAACTTCAACATTAACTCGTTCAGCACAGTTTTGCACTGCCTAAAACCAAAACTTTTCCAACCAATGAGAAGCAAGATACGGTTAGCGGAAGTATATCTATTTAAAACAACCCCTTTTTAAAACTCACATTGATTTTATTAAATAAAAATAAAATCAATGAGGACGCGTAACGATTTTAGTTGAGAATGCAGATTTATAGAGCTAAGGATTCCATAAAATACATGGGTAAAATTTTTGTTCTACGACATATATTGCCGAAGTTATGACCAAATTACTAAACGAATTTTCGGCTGACCTCGTGGTGGCTGTGACGTCACAGAGCTCTAGCGCTCGGGCGCGAGCGTGCGTAGAGACGCTACTGCACTGCAGTTCGACCGAAGTGAACCACGATCGAACTCTGTGACGTCACACGTTTCGGCTGGCGGCGAATATTGAATACCATAAAATTATTAATTTATAAAATCGCAACGAATGAACCGATTTCGATGATTTAAAAGGATATTAATTAAAAAGCATAGTAGATATTCTAGATATACTGCTGATCAGTGCCGTCTTTGGCCTATTGGAGGCCCTGGGCATATTAGTATAATGGGGCCCCTATGACACCTGTTTGGTGATTTAACAGGTACTAGGGACTTTGTATTTGATCCGAGGTAGGCCCCTATCGATCGCGGGGCCCTGGGCACTTGCCCAAAGTGCCCACTGGGAAGGACGGGTCTGCTGCTGACCTAGGAATGATCCTCATTACCTAGGTTATTTACAAATTTTATGTTTAAGGTTAGATGCACACAGGTACATGTAAATGCTTATGAAAATAATGATCGTTTCTGTTATCAAGATGATATTTTTTGCCCGAAATAGATAAAAAAGGATTATTAGGATATTATCAATAAAGTACTTTTTATATCTCGGCTCCAAACATTACGCTTGTGTGCTCATTAGCAGCGGATCGCCGCAAGGCATGTGTGCATTTTAATAATTAATAAGTTTTAGTGTAGTTATTTATTTAATTAATGTAAGTGTTTATCATTTATACATTATTTATTTCATTTTTTATTTGACTTATTATACGATCCGTTACATTTAAAAGTGTATTAAGAGTTAGTGATCAATCAGTGGTGCCAATTCTGGCGTCATTCTCTAAACTAAAAACTAAATTTAACATCAGTCTCTCCTTTTCATTCTGTATAGAGAATGACAAGGATATACTATACTGCTGTCAAATTTAAGTTTGGGTTTAGAGAATCATGCTGGAATCGACACCAATATTACATACCAGTGGGCCTAATCGCAAAAATTTTTGACATTTACAGTGTATAACTAAAGAGAAAATTTCATATCTATCGATGCTTTTCTGAACAAGTATCTAAGAGGTGTTATAATTAAGCAGTAGTGTATCACTAAATAGCTCAGTGGTTATTACGTTCATTTGTCAGAAGCAGTTAGCGAATAGGCTGACTGACGCTGTGAGACTACTTTCATTAAAACTAGGACTAAAATTAAAGTGAGAAGGCAGGTGTATCCTGTTAAAATTACAAACTAAAACGAAAGTGCAGAGGATTAATTAAATAGTGCTAGATATAGGAGGTGGAGCGAGGAGCTGCGATCGTTGAAGTTAAGCAACTTTCGCAGTGGTCGGTCAGTGGATGGATGACCAAAAATCTTCTATTTCGAGTTCCTCCGTGCTTCGGAAAGCACGTTAAACCGTTGATCCGGGCTGTATCTGCAGACGTTAGCACCCGCCAAGCCGCAGTGGGCCCGTGTGGTGGGTCAGGGCCCAATCTCCCTATTCCATCCATAGGGAAGGCCTGTGCCCCAGCAGTGGGGACATTAATAAGCTGATGATGAAAGGAGGAGCTAGAATGCTCTGTGGTTTAGCGCCTCAGATTTGCGATAAGTGGTACAAAATATAATAATAGGTTTCAAATTGTATTTTCGTATAGGTAACACGGGCTAGTCACATACGACTCTTGAATATTATTATGACGCTGTTTTTCTGAATCTTTCTTCTGTAGCAATGCAATGCAAAATATTGAATCGCAATAAAACTATTGCTATACGATGTTTTGCTTTTCTGGAAAACACGATTTGTTTTTAGAATACGTAAATTACAAAAGGACAATTTGACATTTATTCTATCAATTGCTTATACACATGAGTATATAGATAGGTTTAGTATAGCGACTAGTGGTTGACCGTTTTTTTCTTTTTTTGCGGTATCCCCGATTTGTGTCAGGTCTTTGTTTTTCTTTTTTGTTTTGTCTGTTACTATTTTTAGAGTTTTTATGTCATGCTTTTTTGCTCTTTTGCATGTGCGTTTTCTTTGGACATTTCTTTCTTTTCCTAATTTTGTTTTACAATATTCTTACTTTCTAGTATATATTTGTTTTCTTGTTTTGTAATTACATTTTCATATATTTAACTTATTTACACACACTGATTTGCTATTTTTATTTCTATCTTTCTTATCTATTACAATATTTTCTTATCTTTTACAGTTTGCCTTATATATATTTTATATATTCCCATCTTCTGTTTTACATTGCTCCCTTTTCGGGTTTCTTTTTATTTCTATATCCAGTGGTTGACCGTTGACGCCACTACAGTCGAGCGAAGTAGAAATAACGATTTGCTTACATCGAGTGAAAATTTGTAGAAAAAGCCTACTGTGGGGGACAAATGATTCAAAATAAAATTCTGGTTTAGGAGAGTCTTATACCTACGCATTGTCAGCTCATTGCCTAGAAGAGTTTCGCAAAACAATGTTATCTTTTCTTGGCCTAATCTGTCAATATTAGGCTTTTATTATCTGAGGGGGGGGGGGGGGGAGAGCGAGAGAGAGGAACATTTACCACATTAGAAAATAACATACAAACAAAATATTTAGGAAATTATACAATAAGAGTACAAAAAATACAGATTAACGTATTATCAAAAATGTTTGTTCATTATCAAAAAAGATGTTCAGAGCTTCTCTCGGGACTCTACTAACAGTACGGAATATATACGTATTCCACCACTATAAATTATTTTGGGAACAATATTGCTTCTGATGGTGATTTCAGGAGTATGTTTAATTAAGTAAAGGAGCAATATTAATCTGATTCCAACTTTATTGGTTACAGAAACCATGGCGATCTCAGTGACGGGTAAAATTGTGATAACAGTTGTTGTGTTGGGTGTGCTGGCTGGTATGAGCACGCTCATATACTTCTTGGTGACTGATGCTGCTGAAGAAGTGGTCCCAGTTCCGACCACCGAGCCGCCGGGAGTGGAGGACAGCGACATGAGGTACAGAGTGGGCGTCGGGATAGCGGACACGACGGGGCCATGTGTGGAAATAGCATTCGTGAGTATTTTTTATTTAACTAGTAGAAAATTGTCTACTCGAACCCCAAATGATAATAAATGAATCCAGTAACAGTTTCAACTCCCGCATAAGCAATTGTTGATACGCCTCTTTTTAGGATCTCTGGTTGTAGAAAGGAGAGAATAGTACGACAAATAATTGAGTCGCCAAATTCGATCCATTATCTTTCAGTAGACTCAAAGAGATAAACACAATAATATTCTGTAGTAGTAGAAGTGTTGTAGAATGCTCGGAGTATCGTGGACTGAATTCCGTACCAACGAGTCTATGCTTCGAGAACTCGGCATCAAGCAGCGTTTATCGTCTGTGGTGCAGTCTCGTATCCTCACTTTTTTTGGTCACGTATGCCGCCGAGGGGAGGTGGCTATTGAGCGACTTGTGGTCCAGGGAAAGGTTGAGGGTACCAGGTCAAGAGGAAGATCTCCTATGAGGTGGACTGACCAAATAAAAGCTGCAGTAAATGACTCATCATCATTACACGAATGCACAAGGAGGGCGGCCATCAGAGATGAGTGGCGGCGTGTTGTTAAGCCAACACCTGAATTGATGACCACGACCACTCTGTCAAGAGTGATACTGACAAAGAAGAAGAGTAGTGTTGTGATCTACAGTTCTGTGTTAGGTGAAGTAACTGCTGCAGCACTCTCTGGTACCACGATCTGCACAACTGGAATCCATTTTTCAATAACACCAGTTTGAATGGATGGAGCCTAGATTAATAGGTTAAAAGGTTAGATTCCCGATCTAAGCCTGCTAAACAATATTAGTAATAAAAACTAATATTTCCAACAATCGCAGCAATTAGCCTTTTCCTAATGAAGCACTGAAAGGCTTATGTTCTGGGATACTAGGGCAATGGATAGAATACAAATACCGATAATCTAGAAATACTTATCATCATCATCATCATCATCATCAGCCTATTAATGTCCCCACTGCTGGGGCGCAGGCCTTCCTTATGGATGGAATAGGGAGATTGGGCCATGACACACCACGCGGGCCCAGTGCGGATTGGCGGGTGCTAACGACTGCATATGCAGCCGGGACCAACGGCTTAACGTGCCTTCCGAAGCACGGAGGAACTCGAGATAGTAAATTTTTGGTCACCCATCCAATGGCCGACCACTGCGAAAGTTGCTTCACTTCAACGATCGCAGCCGAACGCGCTAACCACTTGCGCCATCGAGCTCCTCAATAAAATACATATAAACATCCATAACTTATATATTGTGTTAAACTTTCATGGTCACTAACATTATAGTAATACATATAAGTTATTTACGGGATTGTTACTCCGTGATCATGGCGCTTGCAACAGTGCCGAAATATCGGGAACTCGCTAAAAACCAGGTACATAGTAACAATCCCATAAATAACTTATATTACTATAATCCATAACTTAGGTACAAATGTTGGTATTCATCATACTAACATATGCCGCACCGGGATTTGAATCCGGGACCTCTCGAGTAGGCAAGACCTTGAACCCATACATACCACACGGCAACGGAGGGCGACAAATACATGGTGTTTCAGAGGCGTGGCGTGGGTTTTAGCCGCTTGAAACAAGTATTCAGTACAAACTGGCATCCATTGTGAAATTAAGCTGACATTTATTTTAATTTAATCACTGTGAGACATCTGGTAAAAGGTTCGTGTTTACAGATGGGGTACGCGGAAGTATTCCAGACGGGTAGGGGCATACACTTGAGGCAGTTCTCGAGGGCGTTCATCTTTGAGAGCGGCGACACTAGGGTGGTGCTGGTCATCGCAGACATCCAGGCTGTGGGCATTGCACTTAGGCGACAGGTATTACCACCAAAATTCATTGGGATATTCTCACGTTATTCTGAGCAAAGCGAAGATCAGAAACCTGATAATGACCTAATGTTATCTTTTCTAATCTGCTGATTTACTGTGGAATAAACAATGTCATCTTTTTTAATATGCTGATACTCTGCAGAATTCTTTATGGTATTGGTCATTGAATGTCTTCAGAAGGCACGATAAACTGATGGTACCGTCTGCATCTATAGTTGTTGGCCCGAATTGCTGGTTATGGTCCATATTCCCCCCTACTGCATAATTCCTTATGGAATAGGGCCCTTACGGTCAGTGCCCCAAAAGTGAGGACATTTAAGGCCATTGATGTGACCACATCGGAATGGGAGCGAAAAAGTAACATAGAAAAAGACAAAGTTTCTTTCATGAAGTAAAAGCATATCAATAGACTGGGCTGTTTCATGAACGAGCTGTCAATATTGTTTCAAGCTGAAATAAGGTAAAATGTGGCATCAACATCATTAAGATGATCTACGGGATTTTTTATATATTCATGGTTAAAATCCTCGGATTACACCACAAAAGTTGGACACTGTTTTAAACTATGCTTTGGAAACATTTGTGTGACATCTTCTTCTGAAACTCTTGTTGTTATCTTTTTATGGTAAGGCCATCAATGTTTATTGATTATACGAATTAAAACCCACAGGTGGTGACTAACCTCCAAGAGCTGTACGGCGACATGTATAGCCTTCGGAACGTGATAGTAACGGGGACTCACACGCATAGTGGCCCCGGCGGGCACCTGGTGGAGTTCCTGTTTGATATCACCATCAGGGGCTTCTCCAGCGAGACCTTCGACGCCTACGCTGAAGGCATAACCAGAGTGAGCTTGAGTTTTTATGTTTAAAGGGTGTTAAACAAGCATATGGCCCGGCTAATGGTAAGGGGCCATCGTAGCTTATAGACGAATACGATACTAAGGCCCCTATTAAAGAAAGCTATATATAGCACATAGCGACATCTCTTTCTAATTGTACTCATGTAAAGATCAACATTTAGTTGTCATTCTCTAATACGGGCCTAAAATTATCACTCGCGTCGTTGCCTACCTTGATCGGTGGAGCCCTGGATGAAACCTTTTCACTGACAGAAACACAGTACCACCAAAAGGTAGTTTTTTCCATTGTGATCTTCTGTAAGGTGGTTAATAATAATAAACATTTATTTCGGACAAGTATACATCCATAATAAGGTTAGTTACATGATTAATTATTATCTAGTGTTAGTATCGGAATTTGAAATTTAATTACTTACATACTAAACTTGTGCCCGTTATACACTTTTGAATACAATAAGCTATTATAGGGGAATCATATCGAGCCCCTATAACTTGCAGAATGGAGTTGGAGCTGGCCCGCACCCTGCAAAGCAACGAAGCGGCTCTCTTCCGCATGATGGCATAAAATAAAAGTTAATAATTTCCTATACTACTATCCTCACACCTAGTGTTGTATGTCTATAGTATCTGAAATTATATTTTCGTTTTTATTCAAGAGTACACAATGACTAGCCGTTATCTATACTTATAATAAATCTGTAGAGAGGTCAATTCTGTACATGAAATATATTTTCAAAATAACTATCAGAGGGTGATTAGTGATCGATACTGATGCCAAAAATGCAATCAGTAAAATTTTTGTCTGTCTGTCTGTCTGTCTGTCTGTCTGTCTGTGTGTATGTTCTTTATAGAAACAAAAACTACTCGACGGATTTTTACGAAACTTGGTACAATTATTTTTCATACTCCTGGGCAGGTTATAGTATACTTTTCATCACGCTACAGTAAATAGGAGCAGAGTAGTGAAGGGAAATGTTGGGAAAACGGGAGAAGTTACTCCATTTTTTTAGCTTCCGTTGCGTGTGCAGCCTTAATGGTTAAAGTTACATAGAAATCATGTATGACGGAAATATTCTACATAGAATTGTCTAAAAAATATCCCGCAACAGCATATGTCTATCTTTTATGGTTGACTCACAATAACACGTGTAACTCCTGATAGCTTAGCAGTTCGGAGTATTCTGATTATATTTGTTTACTCTTACGTTTATAATACTCTCACTCATCCCTAATTTAAAAAAGTTAACATTATTACCTATTCCATAAAAAAAGAATCATAGAAATCGGTATAGAAACACCAAACTTTACATGAAATAAGCCATCGCGCCGTCGCACGTGAATACTGAATCATGCTTTAAAAGGATTATTTTTGTGTAACGGTTGCCGCGCTCGACATGGGTCGGCGGTAGGTATAAGAAGAATGTCATTGTGTATAATACAGGCCTGAGAACAATAACTATAGTCTACACTTCAGCTCTACACCGAAGCGAAGCGAGGGCGGGCCACTAGTACCATATATAAATTTATATGTATAATGTTTTATTGTATAAAAAACGTTAATGTACTTTTACAGCTACATATCTTATTTATTTATATACAGAGATGCCACTAGGGGCAAATAAATTCATTGCTTATTCTTCCAGCTGGCCCCCAGCAGGAAATACGGGTCGCGGCACGAACTCTAGCGCTGACCGTTATTGCGCAGAAGTAAAAATTAAGATGTGTTGGGGGGAAACGAGGTGCGCGGGTGGGCGTGCGTTGCGCCGATTGGCTCTCCAGTCGTACCCATTCGCAGCTATCCCTGACACGTTATGTCCAGCGCTAGAGTTAATTGCCGGATAATTCCTGCTGTGGGCCAGCTGGAAGAACAAGCATTAATATTATTTGCCCCTAGTGACATATCTGTATATAAATAAATAAGATATGTAGTTGTAAAAGTACATTAATGTTTTTTATACAAGGCTCAGGAAAATTTGGGATCTCGAGTCGATTCAAATATACTCAACTTGCCAGCCTGAAACCGATCACCTGATGCAAATGTCTCTTAAATATGGTATATTGTTGTTTTTGTAAATAATTATCTTTTCAGAGTATAGTCCGCGCGCATGAAAACATAGTGCCGGCGAATCTGTACTACGCTCAAGCTAATGTTTCCAACGTGCACATGAACAGGTCGCCATACTCTTACGAGTACAATCCAGAAGAAGAGAAAGCAAGGTGAGCCCCCAAATATGCAATCAGTATTTACAAAACATCCCAAACTCTAATTTAAAAATTATCATTAAATTGTCAGTGGAAAAGCAATATTACTTAACCGCCACTTTGATGCTGCTTAAAAATTTACTTTTCAGTTTTTATTTAAAGTTAATTCTTAAGCAGAATTAAATAAAATAAAAAAAAAACATTATAAACATTTTTTTGTTTCCATATTACACAGACGCCAATGTCCCTTAGTAAAGACGAGGTATTGATTTTAATTCGGTAAAACTTTTTTTGAACTGACTTAATGAAACACTTTCTTTGGTGAAGCGTATTAACTTTTAAAACTAATATTAGGTCTTTACCTATGAAATTCCATTTTTCATGAAAAAAGTTAACGTAAGTTTTTTTTCTATATTTTTTATTTTTATTAACCAAAGTAATTACCAAAGGGTGGGTCCGTTATCACCCACCAATCCACACTGGGTCCGTTATCATCCACCAATCCGCACTGGGTCCGTTATCACCCACCAATCCTCACGTTCCACTTCAAGAACTCCATAAACACTCGAATTTTTAACGTATCCATGATGACGCAAAACGTTTCCAAGTGATTTATTTTCAAAAAAGAATTTCATATTTTAAAAATAAAAATAAATTAAACGTGGGTATCTAAGCATAATAAGAAAAAATGGACTTGAAATAGTAAGTACTAAGTATTTCATAGATAAAGGCTTATTATAACGCTCTAATCTTTAGCTGCCTTCCAGCTTGGGTTACAATTAGAGTTGCCAGATGCTGGCTTATCAATTCCGGGACTTTTCCCTCCCCTGAAAAAATAAAGCATCAAATCAAACCCTCCATCACCTCCCACAATTAAAACATGAAGCAGATCATTCGTTATTTTGTTACGAAACTAGCATATTATCGGAATCCGGGACAATAAGGTCTAATAACTGGACACGGGCCAAGACGCAAAATTCCGGGCCAATCCCCGATTTCCCCGCCATCTGGCAAGCCTAGTTACAATTTTAGATTAAAACAAAAAGGGTAGATACGGTACGCTCATACTTGCATCAAACAAATCTGATCCCATGGCAGCGCGAACGGGATGGCGAGATCCGCGTCACTGCATTACCGACCCGAACGAAACAGCACGTTAAGTTTCAACCTTCAGCGCGAACGAGACGGCGAGATCCGCGTCACTGCACTACCGACCAATCACGCGACCAATACTCGATGTCACTACCGAATAAGATTCAAAACAAAACAGCAATTTTTATGAAAAAAATATTTTATAGTACTTACGAATGAAAAGTGATGCCGTGGGTTTTATTTTTAGTTCTTGAGCAATTTGAGCACTTTTTAAAAACACACTTAGGCATTGTTTTGTCATAATATAAACACAAAATATTAGCAATATTTCTTTTTGGCGTTCACATGTACGTCGTTTGCATGGCAAGTTGTGACTAAAGCGATTAGGGTCGTGGACCACAATTCATGCGGATCTCTTTTGTGAGGCTACCCTTTTTGTTTTAATCTAAGGTTACAATAGCGAAATATCCAGAGAAATATAAATATCTCCAAATACAAGGCGGTACTTACCCACCCACGCAGATTGTTTCATAGTTACCTTCTTTGTTTTAATTCTCTAGCGATAACAGTGTACCTCCAGTTCATTATTGATTGTCGATATCTTTTCACTATCACAGTGTTTGGGACAGTAGCTTTAGATAATGTGATTTGTTATAATTTGATTCATGATATTTATTATATTGTCACCTTTCACAGTTTTAATCTTTATTAACTATCTATATGTACTTGTTTCTTGTTTGTTGGCGGATAGTAGACAATTTTACATTTGTTGGAAATTTCACTTTATAAACGATATAGCCCTTTTTGTTATTGTTCTATTCCTGAATGGTTGCCAATGTTCCACAGGGAACAGGGTTAAGATGCAACACGTCCCCATTGCTGGGGCACAGGCCTTTCCTATGGATGGAATAGGGAGATTGGGCTATGACCCACCACGCGGGCCCAGTGCGGATTGGTGGGTGCTAACGACTACAGATTTAGCCGGGACCAACGGCTTAACGTGCCTTCCGAAGCACGGAGGGGCTCGAGATAGTAAATATTTGGTCACCCATCCAATGACCGACCACTGCGAAAGTTGCTTAACTTCAACGATCGCAGCCGAACGCACTAACCACTTGCGCCATCGAGCTCCTCGACTACGGATACTTCTAACTAACTTCGTTCGATGAGTCCCCAGAACCGTTTCCGAGTCGCCGGGTCAACCACTCCCCGTAGGATAAACTTTCTGGTCCCCCCTCTCTGGCAGGAGAAGATTAGGCGCATTAGGCTTCTCCCTTCTCTTCTCATAGTGTAATGTATGGGTGATTGTCAATTATCTGCACTGGCCCAGGTTCGCCGGGTGTTGACACACTCTGACCCTGCGCTGCCTTCGCAATGGCCGGGTCCGCAGTGGTAGGCTATAGATATTTTCGAACGTTTCTCTGCAGCAATCTGTAATCAACAACACTCCTCCACATATTTGAGCTGGCGGTGATTATTATCTTTGTTGTGTTGTGGGCAAAGGCGGACCCAGCTTTGGCGCCAGGGGGGGTCATATAGTCAAGTCACAGTGGGAACAGATTGTGAAGTTGGTACAGATGGACCCAGCCCATGACCCCGCATGACCCTGGATCCACCCTTGGTTGTGGGTTTATCCTTAGCACGAACCAATATCGAATTCGAATAGTTTGCGAGTGCGAAATGTCATTGTCAAATTTTGTATGGTAACTTGAACAGCAGAGCCACAATGGACGTAACGAGAATTAAAAATCAGAACACATGCGGCTGCTCTTTTCATGTAATTTAGAGTAGGGGGGCGTCCATAAATTACGTGAGATGTTTAAGGGGGGGAGGGGGTCGAGTCAAATCTCATCTAATCTTACGTTGGAGAGAGGGGGGGTCGAGTCAAATATCACGCACTTTTTTTCTGATTGAAACAAAAAAAAAATATACTATTTTGGTCCATTTAATCCAGATTGTACATGGTTAAGATTTAATCTTAAGCGTAATCGTAATACGATTAAGATCATTCACTATTTCATTCGAAAGAAATAACTCTCACCAATATTGATTACTAGTCGTAAAGAAAAGCACGAAACATTTTTTTTCATTTTACAATAACAATCCAACGCATTTACGTAAGAAACCCACATTTTGAAAAATCTCACGAGAGATCGGGGGACGGGGGAGGGGGTTGAATAAAATCTCACGACATCTCACCAGGAGGGGAGGGAGGGACAGAAAATTCAAAAAAACACCTCACGTAATTTATGGACGCCACCTAGGTAGTATTTTATTTAGGACTAGCGGCCCGCCCTCGCTTCGCTTCGGTGTAGAGCTGTAGTTTAAACTATAGTTTTTGTTCTCAGGCTTGTGCTATAAATAATGACTTTATTTATATAATTACACGTGTTATTGTGAGTCAACCATAAAAGATAGACATATGCTGTTGCGGAATATTTTTTAGACAATTTTATGTAGAATATTTCCGTCATACATGATTTCTATGTAACTTTAACCATTAAGCCTGCACACGCGACGGAAGCTTAAAAAATGGAGTAACTTCTCCCGTTTTCCCAATATTTCCCTTCACTGCTCTGCTGCTATTAATTGTAGCGTGATGAAAATTATACTATAATCTGCCCAGGAGTATGAAGAATAATTGTACCAAGTTTCGTTAAAATCCGTCTAGTAGTTTTTGTTTCTATAAGGAACATACACACAGACAGACAGACAGACAAAAATTTTACTGATTGCATTTTTGGCATCAGTATCGATCAATAATCACCCCCTGATAGTTATTTTGAAAATATATTTCATGTACAGAATTGACCTCTCTACAGATTTATTATAAGTATAGATAGACGGCTATGGCGGCCACTATCGAGTGCTGTACTCATGGTTTCTTCATTCCATTATTCGACATTCTCTCCACATGTCACGAACCAATGGGTCTTACCTCTGTTATTTTTTTTTGTTTTATTTCATCAGGTATGACGGCAACACAGACGATACTTTAACGCAAGTGCGAATAGTGCGCGAGGATGGCAACCTTCACGGGGTGCTCAACTGGTACGCCATCCATACTACCAGTATGAACATGACCAACCGACTCATATCGTCGGATAACCTCGGCTACGCGGCCATTACTATGGAGAAGATGCTTAATCCTGGAGCGTTGCCCGGAAAAGTGAGTACCTAGATTTCATTAAGGAGCTCGATGCCGCCTTCGCAATTCCCCGTGGTCGGAATGTTTGACCTTCCTAGTTATAATAAAGTCTAGTTTTTGCACTAGGGTTTGACTGGTACCGGATGGTTTTAGACATGGAATAAAGTATTAATAAAAGATATTATGTAAAATTTTAAAATAAAATGTATTGAAATAAACATAGGTGAAAATGTTACTAGAAAAATTCCACTCGGAGCAGGCAGCAGACAGGACGCGAACCCGCACCCGTCGCTATCCTGGTGAATGCACTGACCATTATGCAACCGAGGCCCTGATGGCGTGTCGAATATTCTCTAGTCTTTCTTAGGCTGCAAGGCAGCGCCATCTTTCCGCATTGTAGGTAACCCACAATCTGCAACAGTCCTGTTTGCTGCCTGGTCCGCGTGATTTTTTTTTTCTAGTAAAATTTTCTTTACATTTAAACATCTAGCAGTTTAATGCTTAATAAAAGAAAATTTAAAAACATAGGTGATCAAAAATGTTTTACGTTCTTCCGTGCTCCAGAAGGCACGTTAAGCTGTTTTTTGTCCCGGCTTTGTAAGGAGAAGTCGTTATCTTCCACCAATCAGCAACTGCCTCAAATCATGGGTATTAAAATAGTGAATGCGCGGCATAAATGTTTTCATTTGATAAAACAAGTTTTGAACGAGTATAAATGAGTTTTTAATACTTTTTACAGAACTTAAAACAGTAATGTAAAAAAATTACTAATAAAAGTACTGTAAAATTACAATTCCACCCGTTCAAAACCTATTTCATTTAATGAGTGGTGCGCTTGAAAACTTAATAAACAAATATGATTTCATTTGATTCAGGGCGGCGTAGTGGCCGGGTTCTTCCCGAGCAACCTCGGCGACGTGTCCCCGAACACGCGCGGCGCTCGTTGCGAGTTCAGCGGCAACGAGTGCGACAACCATTTCACGGTAATATTATCTATACAGTATTGTGACTCGGGCCTGTCCTTGAAATAACTGATGAGATTTTTTTAAGGCGCCAAGTCAAAGGTAAAATATCGCCAGATTTCAAAATTTTGGATTTAAGAAAATACACCAAAATCCGCTTAATTACAATTACATCTCTGATAACAAAGATCACTAATTTAAATAAAAAACCAGTGAATATGTATGAGATTCTACAGAAAAACTGTATCCCGCAGTCGTTCTAAATTAGTAAAATTTTGTTAATTAAAAAAAATGGCAATATTTTACTAACTTAAAACTTTTCCGAGCGTTACCTTAGTAGTATTAGAGAATGAAATAAAACCAGGTAGATATGTATTTACATTCATTACTTATAATCAAGAAATAAATCTTAAACAAAATGTGAAATTTAAAATTCAATTGTTAAATGTTACATCTTCTATAACTTCATCGTCGTTCACAGACGCCGACGCTTCTGTCAATGAAGCCGATGTCGAAGCTGAAGATGTTTGGTTGTGGTTGTAGAGGATTTTTGAAAGAGTATTTTGTGTTTTTTAAATGACATCCTTTGATTGCCGGATAGAATTTGCATTTTTTGTTTGTACTTTTTTGTTTCAGCATGTCTTCTCAAATTTACTACACTTGCTAATAATTCTGCTTTACAAAATGAACAAAACGCCTTCGCATCAACACCTGCTAAAGGTTTAAGCCAGGTTTGGAATTCGTGATTTGATTCCCATTCTTATCTATACTTTTGTATGTAATTCTTTTTCTTGAATAGAATTTCCAATTGAATACTCTAAACATACAGCTTCAGGAGTTCACACACTATTACAAACGTTTCTATTAAATCAAACTTTTACACTTCTTAACAACACAACGAACGCGAACCTAATTCCTGAAACAGAATGAACGGTTGAAGGAAGCCCTTAACAGACAAACGCGTGTAGGAATTCACCTGTAACCATAAGAGTAACCATAGAACATTATGAAATTTCGGAAAGTTAGGGGATTTCCCCCTTAAAAATATGTTGCTAGATTTCATGTTAAAAAACCACTAAAAAACACTAAAAAAAAAAACCCGCTAGATAATGAAAAAATACCACTAGAAGCCGTGAAAAAGCACCAAGGTGGCAACACTGCCGAGCGGGACGTATCCACGCGGTAGGGCAGCCCACCTACAGTATTTTAATTTCATTTACATAATTGAGTTTCTTTCTAGTTTTGTGATTGTAATTTTTTTATTTCATATGTAAAAAAATGTCGTGAATGAATTAGGAAGTGTAACATAAAATATATGTTATTATAAGTGTATTATTTAATAATAAAAAAAAAAATGATTTAAGACAGAGAAATATTTACGCCTCGACTGAGACGTACGAAAAGCTTTATTATTTAACAGTATAATGAATACGCATTCGTATAAAAAGTTTTATTTTATTATTGAAGAGTTCAAGCAACCAAAAACAGCACAATATCGACTATTGCTCTTTGCCATATTATATTATGTAGGTATCTACTTAATTCAATCAAATATTCACAATGCAAACGTTTAAGCACGGCTAACTGCTTAAAAATCAATTCACACCGTTCGGTCGTCGTTGCGGCGCATTCGATAGATGCTCACCGGGTGCCACGCGAACTCGAGTGGCGTAGGTATTATGACACGCTTTCTGACCCTTTGTATGAAGATAGAATACTGAATAGATAATATTACCGTGACCATTTCCAGATCTGCGACGCCGGCGAGCGTTGCTTTTCCCTGGGGCCAGGGGACGACATGTTCGAGAGCACCAAGATCATCGGACATGCCATTTATGAAGGAGCTTTGGTGAGCCATGTCTAAAATGTAGTTAGGCCTGTAACATGTAATGGTATGATCAAGTGTAACATTTTAGGCTGATAGTCACGTGTAACATGTAGTCGTGAGTCAAGTGTAACAAGTAGTAGTGTGACGTATATAACCGATAATGTATCCGTTATAGCTAAAAGTATTTTTTAATGTAGATATTGTAATAGGTACACAGGGTGTAAAAAGACCTTCGACATAGCCGAAGTCGACACGTTGTATACATCAAAATAAACAAATTAGCAAAAATTATGTTGCTGGGAAACGATCTTTATATTTTGGTGTTAATAAAAATAAAGTGCCAGCTGTACCACGCCATGTATAGCGCAGAATAGACCGCGACACCAGCGGGGCGACCGGCACGAGTTGCGGCACGTAAGTATGGCGCTGAACAAAACGCGACAGGGATAGCTGCGCATGGGTACGACTGGGGGCCAATCGCCTAACGGAAATGCTTAGGAAAACGCTAACGCTTACGATTTTATTTTGTTATTTCTAGCCGCCTGAGGTATTCAAATGCCTCGCGCTCTTTCTTTTTCTTTTGCATTGGTAATAACAATATTAAAGAAAATGAGCGCGAGGTATTCGAAAACCTGAGGTGGCTAGAAATAACAATATAAAATCGTAAGCGTTAGCGTTTCCCAAAGCATTTCCGTTAGGCGATTGACCCCCTGGAGAGCCAATCGGCGCAAAGCACGCCCACCCCAACACATCTTAAATTTTACTTCTGCGCAATAACGGCCAGCGTTAGAGTTTCGTGCCGCGGCTTATACGGCATGTAGTGTGTGTGGATTTATGATAATGATTTATATTTTGAGTCTTTTACGAAATACTAAAATTTTTGTTTTTTTTTTGGATAGAACTTAAGAAATAATTTTTGCAAATTGTTTTCATAAAAGTCGCGAAAAAAATATTTTTGACTTTGACCTTCAATAAATTCGTAACTATTGATTTCCCAGGTATAAAAGTTATAGGAAGTTAGTTTAAAAGACAAAACTGGTCCTGACGATCGATGGGTAAAATACATGGTTTTCGGCTATGTGGAAGGTCTTTTAACACCCTGTATGTTACTTAGAGATTACTCGTATGATTTAATGTAGTTACTTGATTTTTATTTTAATCAGTACCCTGTATTTATTCACTTTTTATTTGCGTCCGTGCAATGGGAACTTCAATGAAGAATATAGTTTCTTTTCTTCAGGAAGCACTGAACTCCCCCGGTGAGGAGCTGACTGGTGGTATAGCGGTGGTGCACCAGTTTGTAGACATGCCCACAACGACTGGGACCCGATACGACCCCATCACACAAGTATTCCAGTCAGTAAGTACATATTTGAAAAGTTAACTTCAGAAGGAACATTTAGTTCACAGCTTCCAGCAGTTTTTATTTTTATTTATAAAAAAGGGCCGAACAAAGAATTAATCGTACCTTATTAGTAGAGTCCAGCGCGAAGATAGCTGGCGCAGTAGATTTAACGTACCTACCGCCCCAGCCACGCTTTTAAGGTGCTGTCCGACGATCTGTGTTGTCGCGGGAGAGGCCGCGCCGCGCACTGTTGTCCGAGATTAAGCACTCTCTATACATGCTAAATAGAAATGTCTTACACTATGTGATGGCATAATGAATCATAATGATTGGCAATGTTACATTGCACGCCTTCCCGTCTTTTTAAGGGTTGTAGGATAGAGTGAAAAAAGAACTTTTTCATCCCACCACCTCGGAAAGTGTAATTTTGCGCTTCGAAATCTGGCTGGAAAATTCTATTTTATTCTCTTGAGCGGCAAAGTAGATTTGAATTTAGAACATCACATATAATGAGTACTCAATATAATTGTAAATTCAAAACGTCATTAAACCTATTTAATGTAACCTCTATGGTGCCAAAAATATGATTAGAACTTTTTAAATTGTGAAAAAATTTAAATTTGGAACCTTCTTGGTTTCTTTGTTTTATTTGCGTGCTTCGCGCCATTCTAGTTTTTCACGTTTTATTGCTTAATATAATTAACATAACCTAAAAACTGTACAAAAAAATCAACTAAAATGAGTGACATTAGCGACGATGAAGTTTATCTAACGCCAACTGAGTTAACTGAAACAGTTAATAATGCGCAAATGAGCCTTCTCCCTCAGCAATCACGAGAGAAGTATTTGAAACAGTACGATATATTTAACATGTGGCGACTAGCTAAAGGAGCAAAAACTTTCTCCGAAAACGTTTTGCTGGCATATTTTATAGAATTATCTGAGACCAAGAAAGCAAGCACGCTATGGAGTACGTATTCAATGCTAAAATTAACAATTAAGATGAAGAAAGACGTTCATATCGACACCTATCATAAATTAGTGGCATTTTTAAAAAGAGCCTCATCTGGTTATAAACCAAAAAAATCGAAGGTTTTCACAGCATCTGAAATTGCAAAGTTTATTAATGAAGCACCTGATTCCGTATATTTAGCGGCAAAAGTAAGTCAATACGTGTAATTTTTTGTTGTTGATAAAATTGTACATAGTACTTACAATATTTTTAATTTGATTAATTTATTTACGATTATAAATACTTCTTTTGTTACAGGTTGTTCTTATTATTGGTATAACCGGAGCATGTCGAACAAATGAACTTACACTACTTAATGTCAATAACGTATCAAAATATTCTCATAATTCTGATGAATTGCTATTAATTAATGTACTAAATACCAAGACAAAAAAAGACCGCAACTTCGTTATTCGCAAGGAATATGTAAACATTGTTCAGAAATATCAAGCTTTACGTCCTTCTAACACCCCAATTGAACGATTTTTTCTACAATATCGCAACGGAAAGTGTATCCGACAACCTATGGGTCAGAATAAAATTGGCAGTATTCCACGAGAAATAGCAACTTTTCTCGGACTTTTAGAACCCCCGTTATACACCGGTCACTGTTTTAGAAGAACCTCAGCCACACTTTTGGCCGAATCAGGGGCTGATCTTCTATCGCTTAAGCGCCATGGAGGCTGGAAGTCTAATTCGGTTGTAGAGGGATACATAGAGGATTCAATCCAAAGTAAATCAAAAATTTGTAATAGTATCGTGGAGGCCATAACGCTGAAAGAACCTCTGTCAGATTCTTGGTCTCGCCCTTCTACATCTAAAATGAGCCCCCATAAGATTGGAAACAATAGCCCTCTCTCGCCAACATTTACGCCAATAGAATCCAATGAATCGGCACAACTATTTAAAATTACTGATACGAGTAGTTTACCACAAAACAGCGCACAATTCACAAACACCAACATAACATTACCTAACAAAAATATTAAACTTAACATAAGTAACTGTAGCAACGTTACATTTAATATTTCTTAATTATTTTCTACTTCTTATTATTTTCTTCAATTTATAGATTATCTTAATGTGTTTTAATTGAAATAAAAATATTTTGTCATTATAAATTGTTTTCTTTTTCATTTTGTCATTTCCTCGCTGAGGTGGGATGAAAAGTTACGTATTGCACTCGAGTGGAAAGATTTTTCACCTTGTGCTCGTTTGTTTCCCTCGCTGACGCTCAGGATTCTAATTTAGAATCACTCGCTGCGCTCGTGATTCAACTTTAGAATCCTTCGCTTGCTCGGTCATCCAAATCGAGCACGCGGTTAAAAAGGAACTTTCCACTCTTGTATAATAAATAACTATTCAGTGTCTCTTAATCTTTGTTTTTCTTTTTTTTCTTGTCTTTGACATATTTGAGTTCAGCCGTAGATATCTATCTGAAAGTTACAATTTTAATTCATTATAAGTTAGGTAAATCTTATATTTGTGGGGGTTTTCATTTCAGAATCAAGGAGTAAGCGGATGCATGCCAGCTATGGGTTACAGTTTTGCATCCGGAACGCAAGATGGCGCCAACACACTAAACATTACTCAGGTTATCATCAAAGTTATATTTTCTCTTATTAAAATCATTAAGGTTATTTTTGTTAACATGATTTTAACAAAAAATCTTCAGATTTTTACATGTAGCAGTAAAATTTGTTATTTTTTATTAATTAATTAATTATGAAAAAAGGTCTAATAAGATGATTTTTATTTTTTAAATAGTGTATAAAAACAATGGAACATCTGCTAAAATGACATGAAGTTTATATAAGTAATACGTTGCAATAAAAAAAAATTATATCGAATACATGTGCGTTCTGTTATGAACTTATTAACATGTAAATTTTGGTCACACTTAAATTTATATGAAATAACTTTAATTAAGTAGTAATAACAATAGGGATGATGATTTTTTTTTCTTCGTTTATCAGGTAGATTATCAAAAAGTATTGAACACGTATTTTTTCTTTTTTCACATAATATAAACATTGCAGAGATATATTGATTTGATCAGTCGCATGACGTCACGTTTGAGTACACTTATAAGTAAAAATGCACTCAAAAGTGACGTCACGAGCCCCTACTCCCAAACTTTGACGCGCTATAACTTTGTCATTTTTTGGTTAATTGCCCAAAGAAAAAATACCTGTCCATTATTTTTTGATCATCTAACTGACGGACTAAATAGAATTTCGTTTACTGTACCCCGTCATCACTCCTATTGGACATGTAAGTCAATTACTTAACACTGAGTAATATCCTGGAATTCCGTTATTAATAAGTTGACATGTGTTCATATTGTAAATTCCTTGTATTTTTGTACACAGTATCCCATTCAAGCCTATTGTTTTTTACAACATTATAAATTATTCCATCCCAAGTATTTTTGGAATTTAGTTGTGAGAACAATTATTATTTATTTTTTTCAGGGAACAATAACCAATATTCCTATATTGGATGCCATTGCCGGGGTACCAGGCCGGCCTACCGAGCAAGATCGGGCATGTCACGCACCAAAACCAATTCTGCTTATGACGGGACGGGTAAGAACATAAATAATAATAATAATAAATGAAAACGAAATAGGTTCTCATCACAACACTTGTTTAACATAATACATGCTGCACTTACTTGATTTCTGCCCGTTAATGTAGTAAAAACCAGCCAAAGAGCTGAGAAGAAAAAACGCTCTACAAATAAGTTACAATATACAAGGGCGTCACCAAGGGGGGATTGGGGAATGTCTCCCCCCCTAGAGATCAAATGTAGCTAGCTGCAAAGCGACCAAAGTGCGAGCAATTGAATTCATTACCTATTATATTGCCCCAATGCCCTCCTCCCCCCCTTAGTCATAAGCTGGCTACGCCCTTGACAATATACAATATTTTTAAACTGATAAGACAAAAATAAATAGGAACAAGTGCCTGTCAAAATTATAGCGTCTGGTGCGTTTGTACTTTGATACTCTATAATCAAAGTGTCTGTACAAAATTGCCAAAAAAATATGTTGAACAATTGTAAGCTTTGCAATCTTCATCAAAGTATCAAAGTTACACTAGTTATGTAAGTGGCTAGGCCTTTAGTATATAAAGATTTATCATGATATTACACAAAATATTCTAGAGGTTTAAGTAGCAATCTCACCCATCCATCTGAATCATCCATCATCCATACACTCATCTGAGCATGGAGCTGAATAAAAAAACTATAAACTAAAAAGGTAGAAACTTACTGAGTTTTGTGTCGAAATAGGTAGTGGACTATATTTAAGAGTTGAAAATAGTTAAATAACCCGGCTTGGACATTTCCTGCAAAAAGTAATGAGAGTACGACTCACCAAACTTTTGTAACAGCCGGATTTGACGAACTTCGTGGCCGAGTGGTTTGTACGCAGTGTTACCAACCCTTACCAAACTTTTCCCCTAAATATTTTTTAAATTCCCCTAAAATCTCCTAAATATACATTTTTTTAAATACCTACTTATTACCCAAATACTTTCGTTGCTCATAAATTAAAACGTTACATATTTAGTTACAGTAAATTATTTTATTGAATAAATACAGTTTCCAAAAGGACAATCAAACGAAAATGAGCTGACAGGCTGTTAAATCTTATTTACCTGTTTTTTTAACTTTAGTCCATACAGCCTTAGGAAACAACCCGCCACACAGTCAGATCAGTCGTTTCACATCGTGGTGCGTTCCATTCTACGCACAAAACTGAAAGAAAACACACGCTTTGTTTTTTAATTGCAAGTTTTGATAAAAGCCTCTAAAAGAACCCCCAAAAAATTCCAGCCCCTAAAAAAAGTCCGTTTTAACACTTCTAGACCCTAAATCTGGGGGCAAAACCCCTAAGTTGGTAACCGTGTTTGTACGCCGGGTTTCATGGTGTCGCCGACTCGAGAGGTCCTGGTTTCAAATCCCGGTGGGGGCAGATGTTTGTGTGATGAATACGAGCATTTGTACTCCAGTCATGGATGTTTAATATTCTATATAAATATTAAGTAAATAATATATGTACAGTATATGTATTCTATCCTTTACCCTAGTAACTCATAACACAAGCCTTATAGTACTTACTTTGGGGCTGGGCTAATTGGTGTGTGTTTCTAAATATTTATTATTATTATTTATTTATTCTCAAACTACAATCCAAAGTCCAGACCTAAAGAAGAGACCTCGAAGTAGAACTAAGACCGTGTGCTCTGCTGTGCGTCGCTTTTTTGGAGCTCTGGACTTTGGCTTATTTTTATTATTTTACTAGTGACCAGCGCTCGCTTCGCTTCGGTGAAGACTATACTTTTTATTATCAGGCTTGTTTATTAAACATACAAACTTTCATTTTAAATTACTCTTATCTAATGCTGAATTCTGCATTCTAATCCGTTGCGTACGTTAAAATATCTATTTGTTTCTAAGTTTTCATGCACACCACTCATTAAATAAAACACGTAATAAAGAAAGTAATAAAGAAAATACACATTTTGAACCCGTTTAAGCGTCTATTATATAAAACTATCTGTGCCCCGCGGTGTTACCCGCTGTTTATCAGGAATATTTTCCCACAGTAAAACGTAGCCTATATGTTAATCCAGGGTGTCAGCTAACACCATACCAAATTTTATTAAAATCTCCCCATCCGTTTAGACACGAAGAAGTAACAAACATACACACTCACAAACTTTCGCCTTTATAATATTAGTGTGATGATGATATAAGCCGCTAAGCGTACTGAAAGCGGGAGCGAGTTTGTTTTACATGTAAGTGCTAGGCCGCACTACGGTTTTATCCCGCAAGCGATAAACCGCAAAACCGCCCGAAGCACACACGCTACGATTAAAAACCGCGAAACTAGACACGATTTATCACAGTTTGAGGATGGATTTCAAGAGAGCTGTATGTATTGTTGCTTTAATACTAAGAAATAGAAAAAGAAAACGTCGTCACAAATTTCGTGAATATATTGCATGGACTACAAATTTTGGCGCGGTTTTTACCCGCGAGTCATTCTGTAATAAATCACGATTTTAAAATTCAGTCGCGGAAAAAACCGCTGGTGCGGCTGCTTGCATTAGTTTCCATGATTCACAAAACTACGCGGTATAAAACCGCGGCGGTTTCGCCGTAGTGCGGCCTAGCACTAAAATAAATAAATATTTCCGACACTCACACCAATTAGCCTAGCCCCAAAGTAAGCACTGTAAGGCTTGTGTTATGGGATACTAGGGTAACGGATAGAATACATATACTGTACATATATAAGTATATTTATATAGAAATACATATTAAACATCCATGACTGGAGTACAAATGCTAGTATTCATCACACAAACATCTGCCCCCACCGGGATTCGAACCCGGACCTCTCGAGTCGGCGACACCATAAAACCCGGCGTACAAACCACTCGACCACGGAGGTCGTCATATCGACGTCTAAAGATGAGTTCCATTGACATTTCAGTCGAACACCCCTCTACCGTGGCATCCGCGAATAGTGTCCATGTCGTTAGTATGGCTCGGTGACTTCGCGATCTTAGGCGTCCCCGGCGAGCCTACCACGATGGCGGGGCGTCGTATGCGCGCCGTGGTAGGAAACATCATGGAGCAGCGTGGCTACCAGCCCAGGATCGTCGTGTCAGGCTTGACTAACGAGTACATACACTACGTGGCTACTTTCGAGGAGTACCAGGTATTTTTGGAGTTTACTCCTTAAGAATCGATTTGCTTATAAGGGGCCCTATATGAGAAAAATGTGAGGAGTAAAATCTATCGATGAATGACCTCGTCACGTTTTTGGTGCGCATCCTATGTCGCGCAACTATGACAAACAAAGATGACGGATTGACATTAATAAAATTTTTAAAATCTGAACTGAATTTAGATATTGTTTCTGATAGAGCAATAGCGACAACGAGGAATATGAAATGAATAAATATATATTTATATATGTATATTATTTTCATTAATTTGTTAATTTACCCTTTCATACAGTATCAATCTTTTTTAAGTTAAATAAACTCTTTTTGCGTCTGGTTAGACTATCGAACTTAAGGAGTAAACTCCAGTCGTGCGTCGGAGCTGACACACACATTTTTTTTTCTATAGTACAGATAAAGTCACATTACATGGTTACCAAGATAGACAAGGGTCATGTTATCCAAAACTGTTCAGACAAGCAATGGTCAAGTCATCCGAAACTGTTATTTTTAGGGATCCGTAGGTCAAAAGAAAAAGTAGAACCCTTATCAGATCAATTCGTTGTTGTAAAACTGTAAAAATATTTTTGAATTTGAAAATGACGGTTTGTCGTGAATGCTATTTACGTAATCACCATTTTGTTATCAAGAAAAGGACAACAATACAGCTCAGCGTCAACTCAGCTTGCGGACTCGGACGCGGACTCGCCATTTCGCTCGCGCTGCGTTGAAGCGTTCAGTTCTGTCTCGCTCGCTCGATTGAATGTTTATTTACAGACGTGTGCGTGCGTGGGAATTGCTTATGTAGTTGAATCGGAGCACATTTTATTTGATGCTAGTATGAGCGCACCGTATCTTCCGTTTTTGTTAAATCTAAGGTTTATTATCATCATATGATTACAGGTGCAAAGATACGAAGCAGCTTCAACAATTTTCGGCCCGCACACTTTGGACATTTTCCTAAACAAGTTCGCAGAATTTACCCGCGTCGCTATTGAGGTAAGACAAATCATTACTGAAGTCTATTTATTATGAGGTTTTTGTTTGATAAAGTAAAACTAATGGGGCAGAATAACACCAGCAAAGTCTTACTATCAGTAAGTCTATTGGGAAATAAATTCCCAGTAGTTCAACTGATAAGACTACTGCGGTAAATTATATCTATAGATGAATGTAACATGACGCCCCAGTGGCTCTTATTATGGTACCAATTCTGAAATCGCGAAAACATCTGTTTTATTTATACATTTCGGTCGATTAGCTGATGCAGTTTTGTAAGAAACAGCAGTTTTTTTTTATTGGTCCCATAATAAAAGTTGTTTCTGTTGATGGGTAGAATCACCCCCTAAGAGGTTGTTGGTGTTTTAAAATTAACCCTGTACTAGCAAACCAGTGAACCAAATGTTCACCAAAACCTGATTTAAAAAAAAAAATAATAATTGAGAATTTCGGAGATTTTGTGTGGTTTCGTTTGAAATTTGTGATTTCTCGAAAACCGGAAGTGCTACGTTACTCAAATCCCGTTTGTAGTCTTATCAGACTATTCTTAACTTATAACTTAAATATTCTCTTTATCTATCTCTTACGGTTTGGCCGCTGAAACAGCACTACAGACGGACGGACGGACTTGTCTAATAGATAAGAGATAATATAACGTAACATGCAGGGCGGCGACGTGGCTGCGGGGGAGACACCGGCCGACAACCGGTACCGCACGGTGTCGCTGATCCTGCCGGTGGTGGCGGACATGTCGCCGCGTGGGACGGCGTTCGGGCACGTGCTGCACCAACCGGCGACCAGTGTGGCGCGCGGCGACGTCGTACAAGCTGTCTTTGTGAGTACTGCGGAGTTCTAGCAGTTGTAGTGTATACCTATCGGAAACGTAATTAGGTCATGTCGCAATCCGCTATTTACGTAGATAGTTTTAGCAAGTAAGCAATATTATTAATTCAATTATATTGTAATGTTTTATTGCACTCAATAAACGGACTTCAAACTATAAACTATGTTTCCTTAAATAACCAACGATAGGCTAATATTAGATGGCGACCCTTGCCATTCGAATCGTGTAATATACTTCCACCAAGAACTCAGTCAAAAGAAGACCAAATTTTGTTGCTAGGTCCGATTTTTAAAAATCGGGTAGCGTTATAGAAAAAAACAGTAGCTGTATGGAAAGAGCTACTACTGCCCCCCCCCCCCCCCCCGCCCTAGAATTGGTAAATCAAATTAAGATAAAGGCCACTAATGAATGTGTTTCTGTGGCTTCTAACGCCCCTCAAAGCTTTTTGTAGACAATAACATTTATTTTATTATTAAGGTTACCTACATTATTAATGGCGGAAAATACAAGCCGACATGCAATTGTAAACAGAAAATGGTATTCTTAGAAAAACAGGAGATTCATGTAGAAAAACAGTAGAACAGGAGAAATTTCAGAAAAACAGGAGATCTCCTGTAAAATCTGGAGAGCTGGCAACACTGGTTCTAGCCAGAGTGGATAGAACCTAGGGACGTAGCTACTAATTAAAAGATACTGGATTTTATATTGATTTTATTAATTTCAGGCGAATACAAGTTTTTATATCTAAGCTACGAAAGGGTTGGTGCCTGAAGTCCATCTGCTGTATGGAACCTTCTATCAAAAGACAGATGATTCCTTATTTCAAATCTTAAAATCATGACATTAACTTTTTAATATAACTGTCAGCCGTAGGCATTGCATGAACAAAGAGTTTACCTAAACAAGGAGGCTGTAACGTAACGGACGTTACAATACCTTAAAAATTATCATCATCATCAGTCTATTAATGTTCCTACTGCTGGATGGATAGAATATGGAGTTTGGGGCGTGACACACCACGCGGGCCCAGTGCGGATTAGTGGGTGCTAAAGACTGCAGATGCAGCCGCGACCAACGGCTTGACGCGCCATTTTTGTTCACCCATCCAATGAACAACAGCTGCAAAAAATTTTTGCTTCAAAATATGAAATAAATTTTTAAATCTAATGATTTTATTCAATGGATGGTCAGGACAAATTTGTGCGCAAAATTTGTTACATTAGCATAAATCAATGGCCCAAATGACATTTTTTGTATTTTCCATTATTTATTAGTAGACACACTGTTGAAAAACATTAACATGATACATCTTAGAAGAAAAAGAAGAATTTATTAGTTTGATCAATTAACAATAATAACGAATTATCTTCAGGTGGGTGCAAATCCACGGAACAATTTGAGGCAAGAATCTAGTCACGCAGTGGTGGAGAGGATGGAGCTGGGTCAGTGGACGGTGGTTGCCACTGATGCCGACTGGGAGACGAGGTAATATAATCAATAACGGTAAACAGAATCTTTAATGAGGAATTAGTAGATTTTCACTTTAAAGATGAGCATAATACCATAATGTTACCTTTTGTTTTAAGTGGTGTTGTGCTTCAGTTGACGAGCAAAGTTCTAGGACTCCATGGGGTAGATAGGAGAATGGGTTCAGCCCGACAAGGTAATGGTGTGGCAGAACTTATCAATAAGTATTAAGCCATCGTGGTAAGAAATGTGGCCCATTCCCCCTAACTATGAAATTATCTGCATAGAAAAGGCCATAAAGCAGCGAGGACATTGATAACTGATGATGACCGGAAACTATTTGTTACCTCAGGTTCACTTGGGAGCGACTGTCGACCCTCCTGGGCACCAGTCAAGTGACATTCGAGTGGCAGGTGCCAGAGGACGCCATATTGACGGAATACCGCATGGTGTATTACGGTACCTCAAGACAACCCATCAACCGGTTGTCCAACTTCACGGGCATTACCAACACCTTTACTATAGACGCCCCCGCCTTATTTTAGAAGAATAAATTACGGATAATGTTAAAAGTTGTTTCATTTAGCCCTGATTGCATGTTACAGACTAATACGTTATAGGTGTAACATGTTACACTCAAATTCACGAACGCATGTTGAAATGGCTTCTTAAGTTACCCGCTGGTCACATCATCACATGTAAACCATTTGTACAGTCACCTACTAATTGGGTGTTAACAACAACTCATATTTTATAGAATTGGACACATCTATCAAAATTATAAATCATTTGTTCAGTCTAGGCTGTTACAAGCACTTGTGAAGGTAGAAGCTACGCCATCGGTTCGCAAAACTACGGCGAGAGACCTTGTACTGAGAAGAACCGGCAAGAAACTCAGATATCAGTGTTATAAGTTTCAACGGTCTGTTGTAAACATATATGTTTATATTTGAGCAATAACTTTAAAAACACACGCAAAGATGGTTAATAAATCAGCATTAAAACTGCGTAGGTATATGTTTTGGCTCAATGTAATAATTATTTTTACCTAGGGACTACCAAAACTCAAATGTTAGGTGGACCGCTAGAAGTACCTAGTTATTCACTGGTAATGTCAAGTCGCTTTTTATTATTCGTTTATAATGCGATTCAACTAAGAATAGGACCGACTGGGCGCCATATTGTGATGTCATAGCTGTCAATTCAAACCAAATAGGTAGAGTGAGCAAAAAAGTTTTTATTTAATAAAACTTATTTACTAAGATTAAGTGAGAAAAAGCATCACATTTTTTTAATAACATTTATTTGCTAAGATTGAGAAAAAAAACACCGAATTTTGAGAAAAAACATTAAGCAGAATCTAGCTCTTCTATTCCGCTCATTTCTGCTTTACCGCCGGAGTAGTTATGAATAATCATACACTATACTAGGTCACATATGAACATGGATCCTTTATGTAAACGAAAGTTTGAAATGGAGTTTCTGAACTCAACTTAGTGACATTTGGTTGACGATTTAGGTTATCAACCATTCATGGTCAAACCTCAATATGTGAAAAAAAACTGTCGATATTAATTATCAATAATTGTTATTGTTTGTTTACAAATGTTTGGTTTTTTATTCTAGAATTAGCTGAGTGCTAAAAAAGGGTTTCAAATTTTTTTTTGCAAACCGTACTTTTCAAGCTACATTTGACAGATAGAGGTCATTGGCTTTCCTATTCTTATTTGAATCGGATTATAGACTGCGGCATTACACTGGAATACGGGCTGGAAAACAGTGGTGTCGATTCTGGCAGGATTCTCTAAACTTAAAACTAAATTTAAGATCAGTCTGTCCTTTTCATTCTGTATAGTGAATGACAGGGATACACTGTTGTCAAATTTAAGTTTAGCTTTAGAGAATCACGCCAGAATCGATACCAGTGTCAGGTAATCAAAAGGAAATCTATCTGAATACGGGACGGGCGTACTCGAAGCCGTTCATTTACACTTATTCGTTTACCCGAATTCCATTGGCACTCGTATTCGGGCTAACGACCGAATTTAATCGCGCCATTATTAAACAGGACCTTGGGCCGAATATATTTTTCTACAACAAATTATCTTTATTGTCTTAATGTGGCAGCTGGCAACTCAATTGATTCTAAGATTTTTAGACTGCATGTTACTGCCTTAGTCATCTAGACAGAGTCGATTCTTTGAATTTTTTTTGGTTACCTACCGATCCTATGGCAACCTCTCTGACAATAGCTTAGCTTTTCTGATTGTATAACTACGTGATAATAGAAAAGGCCTTGACCGTCCGCGCATCTGTTAATCCAACCACGTTCATGAAAGCCGGTCAGTGCACCGAAACTCATGTGTCCGAGTGTAGTTCTAAATTTATACGGTTGTTTAGTAAGTAATGTTGCATTCAGTAGCTAGTGTAGCTACATAGGTATAATAGGCGTTGATAGGTATCGTTTGCTTTGTCACATGAGATTGTGCTACGGTACAAATGACTGCTCTAAGCCAGATGTAATGTTTCTATTTATTTGAAGACTTTATGATATTCACTTGGTGTGTTAACTTAATATTTATTATTCAAATGTGAGTTATATTTTCTTAAAATATTTACGTCTTATGCTTTAAGTTGCAAATATCTGTGTTGTGTTAATATCGAAAGAAATCTTTGAGCTTGAGAATTTACACGTTTATTTAAGAAACATCTTCAGGGACCAGCTATATTAATAGGTAGGTAGGTATTCAATTTATTAACGGGTTCGAACTTTTTTTATAAAAGGCACAACAACGATCTTAACTCATGTTATTTGTGAAGTGATGCAAAGATAAGTAATGAATGCGACAGAAAACGTGCAGCGCCAGCAATCCTCACCTTTCCTGTCTGAATTCAATCCCCTACCCCTCCGTGGGGTACATTTACGCCAAAAAGTAGGGTAACTATTAGTGATCTTCTGTAAGGGGGCGTCCATAAATTACGTGAGATGTTTAAGGGGGGGAGGGGGTCGAGTCAAATCTCATCTAATCTTACGTTGGAGAGAGGGAGGGTCGAGTCAAATATCACGCATTTTTTTTCTGATTGAAACAAAAAAAAATTATACTATTTTGGTCCATTTAATCCAGATTGTACATGGTTAAGATTTAATTTTAAGCGTAATCGTAATACGATTAAGATCATTCACTTTTTCATTCGAAAGAAATAACTCTCAGCAATATTGATTACTATTCGTAAAGAAAAGCACGAAATATTTTTTTTCTTTTTACAATAACAATTCAACGCATTTACGTAAGAAACCCACATTTTGAAAAATCTCACGTGAAATCGGGGGATGGGAGAGGGGGTAGACGGGTGTTCCAATTACAAATCAATGTGTTTCCTAAACACTGCGCCAATTCCTATTCCCGAATCAAATTGTTAATTTATTTCCGCGGGAAAGACACGGAAAGTATTCTACTTTTATTTTCGTATTATTGTGGTAGATAACAACTAACAACAACTTTGTCGATAAGTCGCTTAAAGGTGCGATCCGACGGCGTGTCTTGTCGCGGGCGCGTCCGCGCCGCGCATTTGCTATCAACCGTATGAGAACTCTAACGTTTGAGATTTAGCAGTGTCTATACATGATACGAGATGGCATAATGAAGCTGTACTTACTGAGTCGATCCTTTGCGGACTGGTAATTTATTTACTTTCTTATAATATTTTTGGTTAGTGTACATGACACAAACAGTCAACATTGTTCAAACCCCTTATCAAAGTGTACGAGATTTCTTTTTACCTCGCATTATATGAGACAGTGTGGCGGCGACATCTACATGCTACATGCATACATAATGAACATAGAGGAAATAGTCACTCGCCTCCTTAAGAGATGGCGCTACCGGCGCTGCGTTCACAACGTATGGAAGCCTACATCGCGCAAGAGAAATTCGGAGCCAAACACTCCATTTAAACGATGCCCGACCAACATCAGTCAAGTGAGTCATATAGAGACTGCTAAATCTCAAACGTAAGAGTTCTCATGCGTTTGGCAACCCTTGACCGGCGCGGCCGCTCCCGCGAGAACACACGCCGTCGGATCACACCTTAAGAATGTAAGCAAGCAATCATCAAATTATGTAATCAGAGGATGATTGTTATGTTTGAATATAAAGGCGTCTGTTAGCGATAAGGCAATACTATGCGATGCGATGTAATATTGTGTTTTCTTTTATGACTAGATCAAATCTTTTTTTCCCAATGTGATGAATAACTGAGTCTATATACTCAGTTAATTTATATATATATTTATTAATTTATTGGTAATACAAAAATTGCAAATATTTACCTATCGGGCTTTTCAATGCTAATAATAGATCTCGCTTGAATTATAATTCTCACTTGAATTAAACAAATTCTTAGTAAATTCGGAATAATATTTCGATTGATATGATCACTCTTAAAAGTTCCATGTTAGGACTCTCGCAATATCCATGTAGGAAGACCAAAGGGGAAGATCTTTCTCCGAGCTGGGTGATGGTAGCTCGGGGGCCGCGGCCCGACTGATATGGGTCGGGCATCGTATATATGGAGTGTTTGGCTCCGAATTTCTCTTGCGCGATGTAGGCTTCCATACGTTGTGAACGCAGCGCCGGTAGCGCCATCTCTTAAGGAGGCGAGTGACTATTTCCTCTATGTTCATTATATGTGGGGCATGTAGATGTCGCCGCCACATCTATCACATAGGTAGGTACTTCTTAAAAATTATGCTATGTGGAAACAAAGTTCACAAAAAGGGTTCTAGAATGGATATCACGGAATTACCGCCAAATATTATCAATGATGTCCAAGGTGTGCAAAAAAAGTTCCAGTTCATTCATAGCAGTTCCATCCTGCACTCCAACAGTCGTCTATTCACGCCTAACATGTTTTCCTGAGAGATAGCCAGAGCCCTCTTTCCTAGTTGGCACTTTGGGCAAGTGCGGGGCAGGGCCCCGCGATCGATAGGGGCCCCCCTCAGATCAAATTCAAAGTCCCTAGTTCCTAGCCCCATTCTCCTAATATGCCCAGGGCCTCTCATAGGTCAAAGACGGCACTGGAGATAGGTCAGTTGTCTCCAAACTCGTATTCATATAAAAGTGCCTATTTGGGCTTAGTAAAGTCATTTTAACGCAGTGTTTGATGGAGTTCAACATGATGTTTCTCATCATGATTCTAATAATGTTGTAATGTATTGGTGTTACGAGTAGTACCTAGTGATTTGCTAAGATGCCTGTCTTCTTCATATATGTGTAATAATAAATCGTTCACAATGTGTTGTTATGTAAAGTGGTGTCCCACAGGGAACTTTGCGTAAACTTTTTAACGACATAGAAAGTGAATAATTCCTCACAACAAGCATGCTTTACCGACAGTTTGAACACCTTTGACTCAATCTCTCTTCGTTTAGGATCATCATCATCATCATCAGCCTATTAATGTCCCCACTGCTGGAGCACAGGCCTTCTCTATGGATGGATTAGGGAGATAGGGGACGGCTTAACGTGCCTTCCGAAGCACGGAGGAGCTCGAGATAGTAAATTTTTGGTCACCCATCCAATGACCGACCACTGCGAAAGTTGCTCAACTTCAACCACCGCAGTCGAACGCGCTAACCACTGGCGCCATCGAGTTCCTCAATTTTCGGATGCTATTCACCTTTAGAATGACAAATCACAAAAGCCTTTTAAGCCTCAACAAAGGCATCGACAGTCCGATAATAATTTAGATCAATCCATCAAATGTAGTGACATCATTTAGGTATACCTGTAAAAGTGAACTGGTAATTTTCCACATAATATAAAGATAGGTAAATTTCGCGAATACAAAGTGAAGTAAACAAAGATTTTTTAAATTATCTCCGTTTTCCGTATGAGTGCGATGCGTCCAGCGGTTATTTTGAGCTTTGTGAAAAATATTGTCTTCTCATATTAGGAAAATGTTGTGAGATTGCAGATCGGCTGCAGATTTCTCATCATCAAAATTACATTTAGTGTCAGTACCTATAAATAGTACGTTATTAATTATTTATATCTGCTGTCTGGATTATTTGTAACTACTGTAGCTTTATCATCATGCTTTAAATTAGCTGTGTTTTTTGAACTAGTAAATAACAAAACACTTTGAAGCATATTGTTACGCTGATTACGCGAATAATCCTGAAACAAGAAGAAATATTTCAGGATTCATAATTTATCTGAATGGTGCTCCAATTGCTCGTATTTCGAAGATGCAGCATATCGTTGCAATGTCTTCCACTGACATTTGCAGTGCCAATTGCAGCAAATGCAGTAAGGGGGACCGGGAGACTCGCCCAGGGGGGAGAGTTGAACCATCTTTCAAAATTCTATTTAAATTTAGCATAAACAAAGCGTCAATTCGTTCATCGGTCACATGCGTAACGCCCAGATCATAACAAATTAGTTACGCATGTGAACAATGAACGAATTAACATTAAGTTTGCGCTGAATTTTTAAAGATGGTTGAACTCTCCCACCTGGGCAAGTCTCCCGGTTTTCCCCTACTATAGATATACTTGCAGTAACTCAAACTCACAACCCTTAATGTCTGGGAAATGCATTAAGCATCCTTCAGCCACTAGGGAAGCATGAAGAAAGTATCCGCGACTCCCTATTCATTTCACCCAGCTTTGAAGTTCGGTGATATAGACAGGGCCCTACCGGAGCGGTACAAAACCAGACAATACTCCTGCACCCAGTGCCGTCTTTGACCTATTGGAGGCTCTGGGCATATTAGGATAATGGGCCCCCCTATGACTTCCGTTTGGTGATTTAACAGGAACTAGGGACTTTGTATTTGACCTGAGGCGGTTCCCTATCGATCGCAGGACCCTGGGAACTTGCCTAAAGTGCTCACTGGGAAAGACGGGTCTGCCTGCACCTTGTCACCCGACTCGCATTGCTAGGATCGCGGTCCCCGCAATGCACGCCCACGCCGGTAGTGCGGGTCATAGTGAAGCACCAGTTTCCAACAGGATGTGCAAAAAAAATTATGGCCTCTACTGTTCATTAGGTAAAGTTATGGTCAATAAATTAAATGCATTTGTTGACAAATCAATACAATTAATACTAATGCATATTCTTTTACCAAAAATATCGCTTGTCGTGTAGAACTTTTGTTCGTGGGAGGGGTCATAAACTCTAAGTGATAAGGTATCATTAATTTGATAGCGAATGTTTGTTACGAATTCCTTACTGTTTAACCAATGGCAGTTCGAGAATACACTCCACATTGTTATGTTATTTAGCAGATTTGTATATTAAATTATATAAGATATATGTGTATAGTGTGAAGGAGTGCCTTAGTGTTAACTCTAAGGTAAAGTATAAGAAATTATACATTAATATAGTGCTTCTCAATAAATACAAAATAGCTATTAACGGGATTATTACGATATACCTTGTTTTTTATGAGTCTCCGATATTTCGGCGCTGTTGCTAGCGCCAAGATCATGGAGTAACTATCAATCTCGTAATGTAAGCTATAATGTTAGTGACCATGAAAGTTTAAAATAATAATTAAAATTTTATGCTATCCTTTCATTTAGTGGTTGTGAAATTATGTGGAGTCAAATTAATGTCTATTTTAAGCCACATCCTGAGGCGTTTGTTACAACGTGTGTTGGCGTGTGTTGTTTTTGCTAACCCCATCTGAAGGGCCAACAGTTTCTGCTTACGTTTGGGATTTCTTTGAATTTGCGCCTTCACAGCTTTTATCACTGCTGTAGTCCTAAGAGACCGAGGGCGACTACTTCTTGACCTGTCATCTACACTAGAGTCTTCATTGTATCGTTTGATGGTACGATAAACGGTTTCTTCTGGTTATATTCAAAATTTTCAGTATGTCAAAAATTTGAATTGGCGCGTAACTGCAACGATGCAACGCAATAACTGCAACAAGGTCTTCTTTAAGCGTCCACTCCATATTTAAAAATGAGTAAAATTCTAAAAAGCATACATTTTTATTTTCATGAACAATTCGAAATTCGAATTCAATAAACTCTTTTTTGTGGCCAGCATTCTAAAAGGAAAGTTTTTACTGTGTGACAATACTTATGACCTGACTGTGTAATTATGCCAATTTCTTCCACAACCACAACGCATTTCTGGCATTGATTGGGAAATTCTTATCCATCTATCAATTCGGATATTCCTAGGTTTTAGAAATCCTATGCTAAATGCGACAATTTGGAAACACCTTTAATTGTTTTTGAGAATTCTAAAACAAGAGTGAAAGAGACAGATTTAGCTGCTTGCATTTGGTACCATATTATAATAATAATATAGAAGGTACAATATTCATAACACGTACAAGTCTTAGATTTTTATTCGCCTTCCCTATTATACTTTTTGACGTGACAACGTCTTAAATTAGGTTGCGGCTGGGAGTCACTTATGAAAAAGTGTAACGCTCGGTAACGTTACGATGAGTCTCTCGTGTTAAGTTTAAGTTTACATGTACAATGTTTTAGTAAACAAAATATATTTCTATAGTTAAAATTTGTGCAATTCTTATTTTCATTCAATTCCTTGTTCCTATTGTGCAATTTAATTATATTCATATCAATAAATATTCTACCGAGAAAAAGACGTTGTCACGTAAAATCTTCGCCCGTAAAACCGACTTTACAGGCAACCATTTTTTTTTTTTCATAGTTTAACATATTTTTTCTTAAAAATAGGTATCTATCTTAACTTTCCCGAACATACCACAGTTGGTGACATTCATTTCACTTTAAAAAAAATCTTTGTTCTGTGTATCCCTATCTGTAACCAATGCTGCTTTACCACAAATTCGACTCAAGCTACAGCCCTGCCCCTAACCCGGTAACGCTTTAAAGATCATCTGTAACCAACGCAGCTAATTTTTCTTTGACCGGTTTACATGCTTTGGTACTTTGCTCCTCTTCTAATTCATTGATTTCTTTATAATAAGTTAATATGTTAACAGTTTCAAGTTTTCTTTAGATTGCTTGTTATTTTATTGATCGAACTACATTGGAACGAGGATGCAAAGCATTCTACTATGTCTTTCAGCAAGGTTTTGCATCACCACAATTCTTACTCACACTATCGGCCGTGTCGATTTACGCGGATTCTTTAAACACAGCAACAGTTAAATACGATTAAAAATTCAATTAAGTATCTTCTTGAACACTGGAATTTAAAAGAACAGGCAATAAACTCCTATATAAGCAGTTGTTGTACATGCGTAGAAATTAATTTGACACGAAAAAAAATATGTGTAAATTCGCCAGTTCTGTTTCGGAGTAAATGAGTAAATAAGTAATATGACGAATTATCGTTGTGGCGAATATATTATGTGACATTGACCGTTATTTTAAAATATTAAAGATGGCGTCCGACAGACCGGTGACGAATAAGTTTATTAACTCCCCGGAGAGTTGCGTGGATGACAACCTGCGCGGGCTGGTGGCTTCCAACCCGCTGCTGCATCTACACCCTCAGCATAGGGTGGTCACCGTACGGCCAACGGTAATCAATTTCATTTATCAGTGGCCAGTGGGAGGAGGAAGGAGAAGCTCGATGGCGCAGGTGGCTAGCGCGTTCGGCTGCGATCATTGAAGTTAAGCAACTTTCGCAGTGGTCGGTCATTGGATGGGTGACCAAAAATTTACTATCTCGAGCTCCTCTGTGTTTCGGAAGGCACGTTAAGCCGTTGGTCCCGGCTGCATTTGCAGTCGTTAGCACCCACCAATCCGCACTGGGCCCGCGTGTTGGGTCATGGCCCAATCTCCCTATTCTATCCATAGGGAAGGCCTGTGCCCCAGCAGTGGGGACATTAATAGGCTGATGATGATTAGTGGCCAGTGCCGCCTTTGACCTATTGGAGGCCCTGGGCATATTAGGATAATGGGGCCCCTATAACTTCCGTTGTTTGGCGATTTAACAGGAACTATCGACTTTGTATTTAATCTGAGGGGGGCCCCTATCGATTGCGGGTGCCCACTGGGAAAGACGGGTCTGTCAGTGGCTGGCTGTTAATGTGTACGTTCAGCTTGCTCACAAGCAACAACAATCCCCTGTGTTAATTAGGGTGTAAGTTCACTTAAAGCCTTTTAACGATGTCACAAAACTATGCAAAAGCGATCAAGTAAATAGATAACTAGCAAGACTGAAGAACTTAGTTTTTTTCAGGAAGATACTGGAAAGGTGGCTGTAATTGGTGGAGGCGGTTCAGGACATGAGCCTTTCGCTGCAGGTAACTATTGCCTTAATGGATTATAGTAAAAAAATATTAATTAAATGTCTCCGACAGCTCGAGATAATAAATCGTTGGTCACCCATTTTACGATCGGAGATTACTAAAGTTACTTAACTTTCACTGCGCTATTGAGCTCCTCACCTATTCAATCATCATCATCATCATCAGCTTATTAATGCCCTTACTGCAGGGCCATAGGCCTTCCCTATGGATGGAAAAGGGAGACTGGGCCTTGACCCGCGTGGGAGCCCAGTGCAGTGAGTGCTAAAGACTGTAGATGCAGTCGGGCCCAACAGTTTAATGTACCTGCCGCAGCACGGAGAAGATCAAACTAATAAATGTTTGGTCACCCATCCAAAGATCGCCAATTGCGGCAGTTCGAAACGATCACAGGCCGAATGCACTAAGCACCTGCAAAGTCAAGCTCCTCCGCCATCCTACTCACTAAGTTTTAAGTAAGTCTATACTAATCAGTCGCACCAATAGGGGTGATGGCGGGGTACAGTAAACGAAATTCTATTTAGTCCGTCAGTTAGATGATCAAAAAATAATGGACACGTATTTTTTCTTTGGGCAATCAACCAAAAAATGACAAAGTTATAGCGCGTCAAAGTTTGGGAGTAGGGGCTCGTGAACGTCACTTTTTAGTGATTTTTCACTAAAAAGTGTACTCAAACGTGACGTCATGCGACTTTTCAAATCAATATATCTCTGCAATGTTTATATTATGTGAGAAAAGAAAAAATACGTGTCCAATACTTCTTGATTATGTACCTGATAAACGAAGAAATAAAGATGTGGTGTTTGGTTCTACTACACCAATGGTCAAGAGATGGCGCTGTAGTCTCCTGAATCGCACTTTGGTTCCGTTGTTCCAGATTAATAAATACTTTTGATATTATAAATATGAATACCCCTATAACTGTTACTTTATTACAAAAAATGAAGATGTGGTTTTTGGTTCTACTACACCAATGGTCAAGAGATGGCGCTGTAGTCTCCTGAATCGCGCTTTGGTTCCGTTGTTCCAGATTAATAAATACTTTTGATAGGCCTTCACAATGCAGTCGTTGGCCGCTTTAGCGACCAACTTCATGCTGTTAATATTTTGTGTTACAGTGATGCGCGCGCATCTGAAAATTTCATTCTCATCATTTTTTCATAACGCGCCTAAAGAAGTATAACTTCAAAAAAAATAGTTATCATCCCTATTCCAGTGGGAATTTCCAAGTGCCTGCTTTCTTCATTGACTGATATGTTGACATCTTTAGGTTTCGTTGGCGAGGGCATGCTGGATGGAGCGGTGGCCGGGGGCATATTCGCGTCACCACCAACCGGAAACGTCCTGTACGCCATCACTCACTTGTACAAATACAACTCGGGTAAAGTATGACTATTCTCTTTAAAAGTTTCGTTTGAAGACGTGAAAGTTAAACATTTACATTAAATACAACTAGTTTTTACGGGTTAATGCACGAAACTTTATTTATTTATTGACGTTTCGCAGCCTTTTCAGGTCTGCATCGTCAGAATAATGATTTTTTATTTAAAATTGTCGAGCTACCTTCGAAAGACTTATATTGAGCGTTCGGTTATTTCATTGGAAGATTTTTAAAATTTATTGTCTATGTATGAATTTATTATTTAATTTACTTAATAAAGTAGGTATTTTATTTAAAATTCTTGTTTGTAATTTTGAGTTTATTTATTTGACCCTAACTACCACCGGTTCCAAAATTGGGAGACCTTCCTGAGAAGAACCTAAGAAACAAATAAACATTTACATGTTTTTTCTGCTACTTTACAAGCAGATGTTTTATAAACATATTGGAATATTTTTGGCATTTAGTTGTTTTCGGAAAAGTCAAATATTCGGTTTAGTATTTCTTTTCCTAAATTCAACAAATGACTTCAGTTCTTATTCAATAATTGAATTCTACTTGAAATTAGTCATACGTCATATTTTTTTACAGGTGGTGTCCTCGTTTTAATTGGAAATTATACAGGAGATAGACTGAACTTTGGGAAAGCTATAGAAAAAGCAAAAATTGCTGGAATTAAGGTAAAATTAAAGATAACGGTTTCGATGACATTGTTTTACCTCAAAGATAATAGATATTTGACGACCTCCGTGGTCGAGTGGTTCCTACGCCGGGTTTCATGGTGTCGCCGACTCGAGAGGTCCCGGGTTCCAATCCCGGTGGAGGCAGATGTTTGTATGATGAATACGAGCATTTGTACTCCAGTCATGGATGTTTAATAATTGTATTTCTATATAAATAAAATTATATATGTACAGTATATGTATTCTATCCGTTACCCAAGCATCCCATAACACAAGCCTTACAGTGCTTACTTTGGGGCTAGGCTAATTGGTGTGAGTGCTGGAAATATTTATGGGGAGCAGGGGGTAGCCATAGACTTGCTGGATTCCACCATCTAGTTTCGAACTTACTTCGAGTAAAGATATCTATAAAAACCTAAAACTTGTAAAAAATGTAGTCAAATGTAAAGCAAAATAATTAGGCCATTCACTTCGCTAGCTGGCTGGTTCATTCGCTTCCTGCACGTCGAAACTAAAGATATTAGCGCATTCTCCCAACATACCACGGCGAACGTTCTGAGGAGTTATTCTCCCTTATCCCTCCATCACCTTTTCTTCAGAGGACCACGCTAGCCTACGTTCTCACCGACTTACCGTGGCCACTATTCCTACACGAACAAAGAAATTTGGTGACTCATTTCTTTGTCGTACTATTAGCAAGTGGAATTCTTTGCCCACGCAAGTGTTCCCCCCTTCCTACCAGTGGCGGCGCTAGGCGTCGGCGACGTCGGCCACCGCCGACGGCCTAGCGCCTGAGGGGGCCTCGCAAAAAATTTTTACAAGTTACCTATTTATTCTCTCTCTCCTGGCCTGGCTTAAGTAGCCGACCCCGAACAATTCGGGGAAAAGCTAAGCAGATGATAATGACTTTTATTATTTTCGAACACGTGCGTGATGGAAGCGAGTAGTACTTTACGGGTATTCAGAATCGTCTGTCTGGCAACACTATTTTTGTTATTAAATTTCTATGTTTGTAATTATTTTTTGTCATCATTTGATTATCAACAATAAAACTCGTTTACTCATACGTTATTTTATAATTTGGCTCACTTAATTTAACGGTTTTTTACTGCGAAGTAAAATAGGCCTCGCGAACTTGATGTTGCCACTGCTTCCTACAATCTGGGCTCCTTAAAGACCGCCCGTCTTTAAGGAGCCCAGATGAAATGAAATGAAGAAGCATTACTGTAGGCCGGAAAGGTAAGGATGGTTGGTGTGGCATTTTATAACTGCTGCACCAGCTATCTTCGTGTCTGGACTTTATCACTACTTATGTCAGGTGGGGTAGAGTAATTTACTTGGCTATAAAAAAACACGAAGTAATTCCACTGAGCATCATGTACCCATATTAATACTTTAAGGCCTGTATTATAGAAAGATGCTCAGTAATTAATCTAGTCTTGAGCATGGTTAGAAAGGGATGTCGCTATATATAGCACGTAGCGACATTCCTTTCTAACTGTACTCAAGTAAAGATCAACACTTAGTTGTCATTCTGTAATACGGGCCTTACATTCTCCATTTATGTGTATAAACTTGGCCCTCCTTGGCCAAGTGCCATTCGGCATAAGCCACCCCGTCTGGGGATTGCCTAGTTCCCTAGCGCACTCGTTGGGCCGTGCCGGCCCGGGGGCTTCCCAGTGAAGTGGCGCACAGAAGTGCGCCGATCCTGAGACGTTCCCACATGGGCGTAGGCGGGTACCGGCACAGCGGTGACACTTTGTGTACGTGAGAGTTCCAGCGTCAGTGACCTTGAGCAGGAGCGTGTATGCCTAGGGTTGAACTTGGAATTTAGACTTGTGCCAATGAATATTTATGCATAGTAAGTTATTAAATGTAAACTGATTCAAGGATACTGGGGTAAATAATGAAGGATAGCTTTGATTTTATAATCAATTTTTAATCTTTTAATGTAGGTACTGTAACAAATTGCTTACTTTTATATATTTTCTCCTTTTTCGATTCGTTTTATAATTCTTATTATTATCTAAATAATAATAAGATTGCGTAGCGTAGTCAGTCTGTGCGTGCAATGCAGTGCAACGCTATTATTTTACTATTTCGCTACTGCCGTGCCTCCGGTCGAGGCAGTCGGCGACTGCCCTCTCCACGCCCCGCGCGCCGGGCAACGCCCCCGCGCACCTCCAGACACCCACACATAGCCGCGGGTGATTTTACGAGCACACATGCTTAAGTGTCGCTTCTTTTCGCGTAGTGTATATATTCTGTGGTACCGGTGAGTTTTAGTAGGTAGCACCGGCGCTGTGTCCCACGCCGGGCAGTCCCACACACGCCGAGCGCCTCGCCATAGCACGGTACGGTCCCTCCTCCCCTAGGCCACAGGCTGGCGAGGCCCATGTCTATTGACTTGTTTTTTTTGTGCATCACAGGTTGAGGGTGTGATTGTAGGCGAAGATGTCGCGTCCAGCCACAACAAGACTGGAGGCAGAGGAATGTGCGCGGAAGTTTATTTATATAAGGTATGATTTATATTCGTGTTTTCATTATTATAATCATTATCATGATTGGCAAATTATGTTTGAATGTAAAACTAGGGAGAACAGACTGGTGCCAAAGGCTCAAAATGCCCTACGACGTATGGTGTGTTGGAGACTTTCTTTTCTTTTCTTTCGGAAACATTTCTGGTCTTCTATCTAATTAACAGCCATTGTGAAAGTTGCTTGACCTTCATTATTGCCCACCGAACGATGTTTTCCTATATCTATAAGGTTTATGTTACTTTAAAAAACGGGCGCTCCAGTGCTTCACTACATTCTTAGAGGGGCTTATTCCCACTGCTGGGGTAGCGGCGTTTCCTATAAACCGATAGGTCCACTACGCAGTCTCAGTATGCATTGTTGGATGTTAAAGATTGCAAATGCAGACCGGGACCAACAAATTAACGTGCCTTCTGAAGTACAAAGAAGCTGGAAAGATAATTTTATTGTCACCTGCCCCATGACTGGCCCTTGAAATACTTTTGCGATCGCAAACTGAATGCGCTAACCACCTCGAGAAAGGTCATCATCATCATCATCAGCTTATTAATGTCCCCACTGCTGGGGCACAGGCCTTCCCTATGGATGGAATAGGGAGATTGGGCTAGATTGGGCTATGACCCACCACGCTGTCCCAGTGCGGATTGGTGGGTGCTAACGACTGCAGATGCAGCCGGGACCAACGGCTTAAAGTGCCTTCCGAAGCACCGAGGAACTCGAGATAGTAAATTTTTGGTCACCCATCCAATGACCGACCACTGCGAAAGTTGCTTAACTTCATCGATCGCAGCTGATCGCGCTAAATACATGCGCCATCGAGCTCCTCAAATGGAGAAACCTGTCGAGAAAGGTATTGACTAGCATTTATAAAACTTTGATGTCCAATAGATGTGTGGAGCCTTGGCGGCTCAGGGTGCGAGCTTGGAGGAAGTCCGAAACTTGGCGGTGGAATCCAGCAACTACATGGCTACCCTTGGCGTTTGCCTGAGCCCCTGTTCTTTGCCAGGTAATAATACCACGTCAAATCTAATCATGATACTCTGTACTAAATTTAATTAATGTTTTATAGGTTACAATAAGGTTCAGCACCCCTCGTCTAATGTTAAGTGTAAGTGTTTAATCGCGAATATAGCTGAACATCCTCTCCTTGGCAGCCTGAACCTAATCCTTTCCTCGAGGAGCCCTTTTTTTATTACGCAGGCAAAAACTCTATTAACAGACGTTGGCGTCCTTAAGGGGCACACCAACGAACGGACCTCGTACCTAGCCTCTCGCAAGTCTCACGGGTGCGAAACGGAAAAGCCGTTAAGCAGTCCACGCTGCTTACGAGCGCTTGCGGCACACTATCCGCTAAAACACCCTGCGAATACCCTCTACGCTGTTAAATGCGGAACCGCGAGATCCCCGTTGAGGGACTTCACCGCTTCTCCGCACCCAACAGCCTCCCGGCCTAGCTGAGGCTCCACGGCAGGGATCACCCGGGGTATCGCGGGTGATCCCGCAGACGTGCGTAGGACTGCCCGCGTTGGGAGCTAAGTGCGCGGCCTATTGCCCACCGCACCGCTCCCCGTCCGCTGTGGAAGGACGAGGAGCCCTAAAAGTTTACGTAGCTACTCACCGATAGAACCACAACACCACCAAAGGTAGTGTACTTTTAGTATGGTCTCCAGTAAACTGGTGGTTACTTCCTTAGACGAGTGCTTCAATTCGAACAGAAAGACAATACTCCTGAAGCGATCATCCGATACGCACTCTAAGGTCCCAAGTTTCCGGAATGCGTCCTGAGAGTGCTTGTATGGTCGTGACACCCTATTATTAGGTACTGGCCAAGCAAGTCGAAGGCTTACTATGGTGGCATAGTCACGAATTTGTAAATACCAATATTGCACGAATGTCATAGTCTGTGCGGAAAGAGAATGGGCGTGGCGAAAAACGGAACTAACATTAAGATTTTTATTTGGCAATCAACCCCAGCAATCTGTAAAACGTCAAAGTTTTGTATTGATACGGATTTGTGTGTTGTTGAGATTTCTTGCGGTTTTTTGTATTTAATCATGTCTAAAAGGGGTAAAAAACCTTACAAACACGGTAGAAAAGCACAACAGTGCCCTCCAATCTAAATCCCATTCTCTTTCCGCACAGACTCTAACAACGTTTTTCAACACATTTGCGAGAAAATAGTGTAGGTACCTAATTAAAGTAATGAAGCAAACTTTTTATAATAATAAAATGGCGCGTATTTCCAAATGGCGCCACGTGCGGGTGGTGAAATTTAGAACTACACACATCAAAAGTGTCTAGGGATCAAGCATTTTTATGCGGATTTCTTGAGATTGAGATGTGGCTTTGTAATAAATTTATGATTTTATAAATTTATATGGATCCTTTTTGGTGCATTTCATAATTTGAATCAGGAACTGTGAATCAAATTCGAGTAAAAGATGAAAATCAGCTGTCAATATTTTCCCTATAAAAACATACAACGCATTGAAGACATTATTAGTGCTACTGTTTCCCTACTACTGATTAAAACCAACGTTATTATGGAGCGGCGACGTCATTTAAGCAGGGAAGAAATGCTCAGAGCCGTGGGAATGATAGAAGCTGGTTCCCGGCAACGTACTGTGGCTTTAGCTCTGAATACAAGTCAGAGTGTTATCAGTCGACTTTGGACACGATACCGAAGCACTGGTACCGTGGCTGAGCGCCATGGAGGACGGTATCGCTGCACCACACGGAGACAAGACCGATACATTCAAATCTTAACTCGAAGAGCTCCAACAATAACCGCCATGATGTTAGCCGTGAGGCTTCAGCACTCTTCAGGGAAGTTAATTAGCGACCAAACAGTCAGAAACCGCTTGCATGAAGTGAACCTTCATTCCCGAAGACCGCTACGGGTACCACCTATAGCAATGCACAATCGTAGGATTCGATATCAATGGGCTCTTGAACACAGAAATTGGGCAGAAGAACAATGGCGTTTCGTGTGCTTTTCTGATGAGTCTCGTTTTGGTATGAGACCGGATACAAGACGTATACGACACTGGAGAACCCCTGGACGCCAACAGCGATTAAAATCCTGCCAGGAAGTCCATCCTTATAGTGGTGGAACCATCATGGTATGGGCGGGTATTTGGATCGGCGGAAGAACTGAGTTGATTTGGATCAGAGGCAACCTCAACGCTCAAATTTATGCTGAGACGATTGTATCAGACGTCATCGTTCCTCTACAAGTGCAAATCGGTCCCTTATTTCAGTTAATGCATGATAATGCACGACCGCACACCGCAAGAGTTGTAAGACAGACTCTCGCCGCAGCTAACATCAATGTCCTGCCCTGGCCTGCTCAGTCGCCAGACTTGAACCCGATTGAGCATGCATGGGATATGCTACAGAGAAGAGCTCTGCCGAATATGGAGGGTATCCAGTCGCAAGAAGACCTTTTTTTGTTGTTGCAACGAACATGGGCGGCCATTCCACAGCGTGATTTGGATGAACTCATTTTGAGTATGCCAAACCGATGTTCTTGTGTTGTTAGTGTTCGCGGTAGAAATACGGATTATTAATTGTTTAAGTTACCCAATAAAATTTTAGAGAAAACTGTTATTTCAGTCTTTTTTTCGAACTTTTGTGTTAGTGGTTCAAATGTCAAAAATCCCTTTATTAGGAAAATGGCAAATTTCTTTATTAATGCAAAGGTGACTTGGTTTATCGTTACTGTGACAAACGAAAACACTTTATTTGATGAATCCTTAAAGAAAATTTTAATTAATATCAATCAGGAGAAAAGTTATTGCAAAAATATATGTTGATCCCTAGACACTTTTGATGTGTGTACATCTTTCGTCTCTTTCTTGTTAGTATTAAAGATAGACAGAGAAAGGAATACATATAGTAAAGGATACGGGTAGGTACATCGACAAGTATGGGACCATGCGGTAAAACGTTTTACTGCACTCTTAGTTGTATATATATAGCGCGTATTTTTGAACTTTCGAACAATGTATAGGCAACCTCCGTAAATCCATTTTTTGAGTTAATGTGTTGAAAAGTTAGTTTTATATTTAATTATTCAACCAAGTCAGGGTATTAACTTATCACCTGCTGTGCATTTATATTTATGACACAGGTCAGGCACCACTATTTGAGATCTCGCGCGGCATGATGGAGCTGGGCGTGGGTGTGCACGGGGAGGCTGGCATCTCTAAAGTGGAGCTCGGCACCGCCAGGGAGGTCGTCAGCCTTGTACTTGGGAAGGCATGTTTTTCTACATAATACTTTTTTTTATTTTTTTCTAAATGGCTTCGCATGGCTTGTGCATTTAGCCAATGTCAAGTGTTAAAATGTTTACAAATTCTATAGCACTCGTGGTCAAAGTAAGTGGCAGTCAAGTCAATCCCCCTTTCCCTATGTTTCAGTAAAAGTGTGGGGATTTACTGGAACCTCCCCGTGGACTTCTTGAGGGAACGTCGAAAGACACTTTCCGCTATTTTGTTTCACTTGCCAACACTAGTGCATGTTCCCGAACACTTAGTGGTTAATAATCCACCATTATTAGACACTAACATCCGCCACAACACAATTTTTATCAAGAAAAACAAAACTGCTAAAGTGACGCTCCCCGATCCCGCCAAAAAGTCCTACATAATACTTAAGTTTTATATTTATGGGAAAGATTTGTTTGAAGCGACTAACGATAAATGAATAAGATACACCATTATTTCAGAACCGCCTTGTTTTTGCTTTATTTCTAATATTTTTTTTTGGTATTTCAGTCGATCTCAATAGTTATGTTCATGTGACTTATTGAAAATAGTTGCACCTTCAGTTTAAATTACCCATCTAAATATCTTTATACTCTGAACACGATTCTCAATCTAATGGAGTAAAATCTTGCTCATAAACATTACCAGATCACCACCAAAGTGTTAGTTCAATGTAGTCTACTGGAAGGTAGGTGTAACGTTCGTTAATTGCTTTGTAAATGTTCGAACACTGTTTAATGCGATTCAACTAAGAATAGGACCGACTGGGCGCCATATTTTGACGTCATAGCTGTCAGTTCAAACCAAACAGGCAGAGTGAGCAAAAAAATGTTGCTATATAATAAAACTTATTTACTAAGATTAAGTGAGACAAAACATCAGATTTTTTAATAAAATTAATTTACTAAGGTTGAGAAAGAACACAACCGATTTTTAATAGTATTTCTTTATTAAGACTGTGAAAAAATACATTATCAGAATCTAGCTCGTCAATTTCGCTCATCTCTGCATTACCGCCGGAGAAGTTACGAATAATCATGCAGGTCACATACGAACATGCATAAGTACTATATGTAAACTAAAGTTTTAAATGGAGTTTTTGAATGCAACATAAAGTGACATTTGGTTAACGATTTAGGTTATCAACTAGTCATAGCCAAAGCTCAATAAATGAAAAAAACAACTAATATTAATTATCAACATTTGTTTAAAAATGATTGGTTTTTTAATTCTAGAATCAGCTGAGTGCTAAAGTTCCGAGTTTTTTTTGCAAACCGTACTTTTTAAGCGACATTTGACAGATGGAGGTCATTGGCTTTCCTGTTCTTATTTGAATCGCATTATAAACTAAGGGCTTCGTATTGCATATATATGTACTCGAACACAGTCGTTACTAAACCATCTTTATCATAGGATTCGGCGGGTGGAATAACCCGAGTTGCCGGGACACAGTTTTACATGGAGATCGATTAAGAGTCAATACGAAGCCCTTAGTGTACAGTGTTCAAACATTTACAAAGCAATTAACAAACGTTACATAGGGGTAACTTCTACGATTCTTATAAATTACTGTGCTATTTCGGATGCCTTACTTCTTAAGAAGGGAGGCGCGCAATGTTTTTTCCATACAAACATTCTCGACTGATTCCTCCATTATTTTTATCACTAAAGAAATGATTTTCATACATAAAATATAACTTTACTCATTCTATGCTCCTATGTCTTCCTTTTTTCGATAACTTTTGTTTCACAGAAAATAGAAGCACTCAAAAATGCCAAAAGTAACCACATTTTATCATCACTAAAGACGTCTTGTGTGATGATTCAATAAACATTTATAAATAAAGTGAAACATAGAGACCTAGTATAACTACTACTTATTATTCTATGTCTAAAATTTCTTTTACACATATATCTAATTTATTAACAATTTTCAGCGTTAGCTACCGTTGTCCCTATCGGACGATATTTGCCAATATGCGACAGCAATAGCTTTTTCAAATACCTATTTCTCAAATGTCTCTCAGCTCGCGTCCGCTCTTAATCTAATGTTAAGAGCCCTTTTACATTTTTTGCAAAAAATCGTTTACCCATTTAGATAAGATTTTGTCTATTTCCAATAGAAGTAAACAGTAGATTTATTCTTCTTATTGTAAGTTAATGTAGAATTATTGCAAATATTATTTGCCTTTTTTTGTACTGATCGTTCTACCGCAGCTAGTTTACGGAAAAAACGATAATATGCACAACTTCAAACGCCTCAATCTCTCAATAATGTTCAATAAATTAGATAAAATTAATTACTACGACAAGAGAAATATGTTTTTGTTATAACATAATGTATTAGAATTTTTATTTTCTATCTCATTAGTTATCAAAAAAAAAACATCTAACCTCCGTGAGTTTCTAATGCAGGTTTACCTCGTATTTTGATATTGAATTTAATAGAATTACTATCAAAAACTTCCATAAAACTAATCTACCATCATTGAACTACTGAAATATGTATATATTTTTAGAATTAGTTAGTAAATAATTATTTTATAAGACTCGAAACATCACCCGTAAAATGCAATATATACTAGTGCAAATCTATCTACGCGCCGTTTAGTACGGCAGCGGCGCAATTTTGTAAAAAGGCTCATAAGGTATTATTGTAACTAAGATGGTTAGAGTAATCTTTGGACCACGTGTGTTCATTTGCACAATATAACATGGACCAATGTTTCTTTGTTGAGATGCAGAGAGGGCAGCGATATTTTAGAAACGAATTTGTTTAAGGTCTTTATAAATATATGTGTAATTATATCAAATATTAACTTTCAGATAGTCGAACATTTAAATCTGACGTCTGGCCACAGCGTGACAGCAATGGTAAACAATTTGGGGGGCACTTCCATACTCGAAATGAACATTATAAGCAAGGAGATCAAAGAGTACCTTGGTGAGTAGCAAATGAAGTTTTAGTATTAAGTAGCTATATTAAGAACAAGCAACTTCACAATATTAGCCATCTATCTTAGGTGCTCTTATATCCAGTGTTGCCAGGTCCTATTTTAAAAAATCGGGAAGTGTTACAGTAAAATAACTGTAGTTGTATGGAACAAATATAGTCTACCAACAAATGCGTTTGTATTGCTTTTTCCGCCTCTCAAAGCTCGTTTTTTTAACAATAACATATTTATTATATTTATATCTAAAGTAAAATTTTTAATGGCAGAACCGGAAAAGCACAGGTGACTCGAGTGACGCATTTTACGTAACGTTTCACGCAATTCAAAAAAATATCGAATCTAAGAAAAACAGTACACATATATTCATGTAGAGCAGCTATACTCTAAGTGTGTTCCGCGGAACCCTAGGGTTCCGTGATACCTCTGTCGGGGTTCCGCAAGAATTTAGAAATAAAAAAATCAAAACACCTCTCTCTGGTCGCTCCGCGGCTGTGCGGACTCCGCGGCCGCGCGGAGACAAAACGCTATGAATGTTATTTATTTATTTATTTGTATTTGTATAAGCTTGTGTTACATTAGCTGGTACAATATCTCATAAGTTTGGTCTCAACAATTTTATACTTGTACAACGCGTTCGCTCTAAGTTTGCCGGTCTGTGGAATGCGCGTACCCTCCCCCACGTGACAACAAAACTTATAATGTGTCATAGTTTTACCCAAATATCTAACGTACACAATTTTTATTGTTACAATTAAATAAAAAATTTCGAACGTCATACACTCATACCTATCGCCAGCGGCAAACTTAAAACGAGCGGGTAGTATACTTGTAAGCGCTCAGTCTCTTTGATAAAAGCCGCCTCTGAATTAGACGCTATAGTTGTCAACTAGCGACTTTCGTCTCTAACTTCAAAGGATAAAGTCGATATTGTTTACAACGCTATTTTTAAATTTCTGTTTTTATTTTTGCTTTTTGTTTATCAAAGGTGCCGACTCGAGTATTTTCGAGAATATTTGAGATCGAGTCTAGGACTAAGTATAAAAGCGGCGATCGCGCGTTGGCGTCGTCAGTTGATGATTAGCGTTCGGAGCGATAAGTTACTACCTACTTACAAGCTCGCTAGCGAGAAACTGGTGTTCATTGTTTTACTGCCTGCTGTATTCTGTTGTCTCAGTTTTATACATTTCTTCCCTGTAGGTTCTAAATTTAGTCTCTTATACGCAGTAACGATTGTGCATTATTTAAACCCCACTATCCTGACTTGTAACATTATAAATAAAGAAGAATGGAACGTTGGCTTAAAGGTGTTAAACGTGTTCCAACAACATCTTCTAATGACGCTGAATGTTCAAAAGCAATGCGCGCGGAGAATTTAGCAATCACCGATCCAGAAGATGATGCCACGAGTGCCACGACGTCAAGCTCGACGGTTTCAAAGACGAAAAAAAGGAAGTATGATGAATCTTATATCAGTTTCGGATTTGTTGATTCCAACGGCTCACCTCTCTGCATGCTCTGTAGTAAACTGCTTCCTAATAGTTCCATGGCACCTGCCAAATTGCGTCGACATTTAGAAACCGTACACCCCGAGACTAAAGACAAGAATAAAGAATTTTTTGTTCGCAAAAAAGATCAGTTATTAGAAAGTCAAAAAAATATGATGCATGTAACACAAACTACCAACGAAAAGGCCACGGAGGCATCATACTTAGTTAGCTATCGCATTGCACAAGCAGGTGAAGCGCACACTATCGCTGAGAAATTAATAAAACCATGTGTATTAGACATAACAAAATGTATGCTTGATGAAAAATCTGCAAAGCATCTTTCTACTGTTCCGCTATCAAACGATACTGTTTCACGACGAATCCATGATCTGGCAAGCTACGTCAAACAAGAACTAGTTACACGTCTACAAAATACACGATTCGCTTTGCAAATGGACGAGTCGACTGATGTCGCTGGTTTGGCTATCCTGCTGGTTATTGTGAGATATCCATATAAAAGTTCTTTTGAAGAAGACATGCTTATGTGTTCATCGCTGCTTACAAACACTACCGGGGAAGAAATTTTTAATAAAATAAATATATTTTTTGAAGAACATAATCTCAGTTGGAACAATTGCATTGACATTTGTACAGATGGGGCCAAGGCGATGACAGGTAAAACAGCAGGAGCAGTGTCACGAATGAAAAATAAAGCGCCTAATTGTAGTTCCAGTCATTGTATTCTGCATAGACAAGCACTTGCGATGAAGCAAATGCCGTCTAATCTAAAATTAGTTATGGATGAAGCGGTAAAAATAATTAATTTTATCAAATCACGACCACTACAATCCCGATTGTTCTCATTATTGTGTGAAGATTATGGCAGCAAACATAAAACACTGCTGCTCCATACAGAAGTGCGATGGCTGTCTCGGGGAAAAACTTTAACAAGGCTATTTGAACTTAGAGCCGAGTTACAAATGTTTCTTTCAGCAGATACTTCTTTTAATTTGAAGGACCGTTTGTATGATAAAACTTGGTTGTTCCGATTGTCTTTTATGGCGGATATCTTTCAAAAACTTAACGAATTAAATTTATCATTGCAAGGTAAACAGACAACAGTGTTTCAGGCCTATAATAAAATAACTACTTTTAAAAGAAAATTAGATTTTTGGATCATTTGCATTGGTAAGAAAGAAATAGAAAGTTTTACGTTACTCACTGAGTTTGTTAGCGAAAACGACTCAGAAATGTTTGAAGATAATGTGTTTGAAGAATTGGTCCAATATCTCAGTTCGATGCGCGCATCTTTTGAAAAGTATTTTCCCGAAGAACACAATACAAAAATTAAAGTGAACTCCTGGATTCATAATCCTTTTTTACCCAACTTGGAAAAGCCTGAAAACATGTCAAATGAGATATATGAATCTCTTTTAGAAATGTCATCAGACACAAGTATGGAGTCATTGTTCAAAACGACGCCTCTTAATGATTTTTGGTGCAGAATCCAAGATGAATATGCAATGCTTGGCCAAATGGCTCTGGATATTCTTCTCCCGTTCCCAACTACATATTTGTGCGAAACAGGATTCTCTACCTACGCAGCCACGAAAACAAAATATCGCAATAGACTGGACGCCGAAGCTGATATGAGACTCCAACTTTCTTCCATCAAACCTGATATCAAGCAATTGATGAAAAATAAAAAACAGTTTCATACCTCCCACTAGTTAGATTTTTTCTTTTTTAATGTTTTCTATTATTGTCCTTACCAAGTGGTGAAGTAAATAATAATTAGTAACGGATACATTGTACTTTTATTATGCTGATTAATATAGAATACACTTATAAAAATAATTGTTTTATTGTAGGGTTCCATCAAGTATTTTGCTTCCCAAAAGGGTTCCGTCATTTAAAAAGTTTGAGAACCACTGATGTAGAGAAACATAAGAACAGGAGATTTTTGAAAAAAACAGGAGATCTCCTGTGAAATCGGACTCACAGAACATAGAAAGAGGTTAGAGAAGGGCCTTGTGGGCGGGGCAGGCGCGACACATGCTGTGTGAGCAAAAGCTCATAATTGTTTCTTAGGTTTTCACGCACATCACTCATTAAATAAAACTAGTTTAAACGGGATAATGCACGAAACTTTATTTATTTATTGACGTTTCGTAGCCTTTCCAGGCTTCGTCGTCAGAATAAAACTTTTGTTTAATTTGTCGAGCTACCTTCGAAAGACTTTTATTGAGCGTTTGGTTATTTCATCGTTCGATTTTTAAGTTTTATTGTCTATGTATGAATTTATTATTTAATTTACTTAATAAAGTATTTTATTTAAAATTCTTGTTTGTAATTTTGCGTTTATTTATTTGACCCTAACTACCGTAAACTACCACCGGTTCCAAAATTGGGAGACCTTCCTGAGAAGAACCGGCGAAACAAACTCAAGAGAGGCTTTCTATCTCCTTCTTATGTTAAATTATGCAAACAAAAAGAACTAATAGTATCTGATGGTCTTGCAGTATGTGCTCGGGGTTGGGATTTTATCTCCTGTATAATAGGTTCCCAAGCTGGTGGTATATACCAACCATCTTCCCTATTGAAATTTGGATATTTTTTAATCTCAATAGCCTCGCGCATCATTCGAGGAACGAAACGCCGCTCAGCTGCAAGGATCTGTGGTCTATCAAATCTAATGTAGTGGTTTGGTCCCCCTAATGCATGTTCACACACTGCAGATTTATTTTCGCGCCTATGTTTCATATCTGCGATATGTTCTTTTACGCGAGTCCCTATACTCCTCTTTGTTTGACCGATGTAGGAGAGCCCACAGTCGCATTCAAGTTTGTAGACACCAGCAACTTGAAAGGGTATATTGCACTTGACTGGTCGTAGAAACTGGTTGATCTTCTTTGGCGGCTTGAAGTATGTATTGATTGAAGCATGCTTCAGAATCCTCCCAATCTTGTCAGTGACTCCTTTCATGTAAGGTAGTATAGCAGGTTGTCGGTCGACTGTGCTAGGTTTGGCGCGACTGTGACGGCGACGTGGTACATTCAGGTTATTATCCTTCAGTACTTGCTCGACATGCTGAAGTTCAGCTGCCAGGTGTTGTTCGTCACAGACACCCCGCGCTCTCTGAAACAAAGAGTTTCCTACGGCAGTTAATTGTTTCGGGTGATGGTGTGAGTCACCATTGAGGTACCTATCAGTATGAGTCACTTTACGATACACAGTATGGCTTAAACTTTGGTCAGGATTCCTAATTAATAAAATATCTAGAAAAGCTAGTTTGCTATCTGCCTCTAACTCCATAGTGAATAGGATGTTGGGGTGTATAGAGTTAAGGTGATTTAAAAAGGCAGAAATTTGATCTGTTGGGAGGATTGTGAAAGTATCATCTACGTACCGCTTATATAGCCTGGGTGTGACAGGTGCTACGCTGAGAGCCCTCTTCTCGAAGTCTTCCATGAAAATGTCGGCGACAACAGGTGAGACAGGGGAACCCATTGCCACACCCTTCATTTGTACATAGAAGTCATCCCCCCATAACAGGTAGCCAGATGTAAGGCAATGCTCCAGTAATACTGCATATTCTATGGGCATATTATTTTTTTATATATAGGCATATTAATATGCCCATAGAATATGCAGTATTACTGGAGCATTGCCTTACATCTGGCTACCTGTTATGGGGGGATGACTTCTATGTACAAATGAAGGGTGTGGCAATGGGTTCCCCTGTCTCACCTGTTGTCGCCGACATTTTCATGGAAGACTTCGAGAAGAGGGCTCTCAGCGTAGCACCTGTCACACCCAGGCTATATAAGCGGTACGTAGATGATACTTTCACAATCCTCCCAACAGATCAAATTTCTGCCTTTTTAAATCACCTTAACTCTATACACCCCAACATCCTATTCACTATGGAGTTAGAGGCAGATAGCAAACTAGCTTTTCTAGATATTTTATTAATTAGGAATCCTGACCAAAGTTTAAGCCATACTGTGTATCGTAAAGTGACTCATACTGATAGGTACCTCAATGGTGACTCACACCATCACCCGAAACAATTAACTGCCGTAGGAAACTCTTTGTTTCAGAGAGCGCGGGGTGTCTGTGACGAACAACACCTGGCAGCTGAACTTCAGCATGTCGAGCAAGTACTGAAGGATAATAACCTGAATGTACCACGTCGCCGTCACAGTCGCGCCAAACCTAGCACAGTCGACCGACAACCTGCTATACTACCTTACATGAAAGGAGTCACTGACAAGATTGGGAGGATTCTGAAGCATGCTTCAATCAATACATACTTCAAGCCGCCAAAGAAGATCAACCAGTTTCTACGACCAGTCAAGTGCAATATACCCTTTCAAGTTGCTGGTGTCTACAAACTTGAATGCGACTGTGGGCTCTCCTACATCGGTCAAACAAAGAGGAGTATAGGGACTCGCGTAAAAGAACATATCGCAGATATGAAACATAGGCGCGAAAATAAATCTGCAGTGTGTGAACATGCATTAGGGGGACCAAACCACTACATTAGATTTGATAGACCACAGATCCTTGCAGCTGAGCGGCGTTTCGTTCCTCGAATGATGCGCGAGGCTATTGAGATTAAAAAATATCCAAATTTCAATAGGGAAGATGGTTGGTATATACCACCAGCTTGGGAACCTATTATACAGGAGATAAAATCCCAACCCCGAGCACATACTGCAAGACCATCAGATACTATTAGTTCTTTTTGTTTGCATAATTTAACATAAGAAGGAGATAGAAAGCCTCTCTTGAGTTTGTTTCGCCGGTTCTTCTCAGGAAGGTCTCCCAATTTTGGAACCGGTGGTAGTTTACGGTAGTTAGGGTCAAATAAATAAACGCAAAATTACAAACAAGAATTTTAAATAAAATACTTTATTAAGTAAATTAAATAATAAATTCATACATAGACAATAAAACTTAAAAATCGAACGATGAAATAACCAAACGCTCAATAAAAGTCTTTCGAAGGTAGCTCGACAAATTAAACAAAAGTTTTATTCTGACGACGAAGCCTGGAAAGGCTACGAAACGTCAATAAATAAATAAAGTTTCGTGCATTATCCCGTTTAAACTAGTTTTATTTAAAAGCTCATAACTTGACCAAAACTTGGTTCTGATTGATTCGTTGCTCATTTATGTCATCCGTTATCTGGTCACGCCTCTGCAGTGTAGCAGGACGTGAGTGCTGGTCTCCTCTTCCTCCATGTAGGATTAGGGTCTCTACTGTAAAGTACCTGTACTTTCACTCATCGTTGTCACTGGTAGATCAACACTATTACTATTTAAGAGAGGTAGGGGCATAGCATATTTCCGCTCGAATTTGAGCTTCAATCTGGGGAAGGAAGCCCATATAGAAGACTACAGTAAAATAACACTATCTTTTAGTAGTCTCGTGTTTCTGTCGGTGAGTCAGGTTCCAGACACGGGATAAGGGTTTGGGTCAGGGTATGCAACGGCCCATGTCATATTTTTGTATCACAAGCGTCTATAGAATTATTACCGAATTAGCAAACTGAAGTGGCAGTGGGCTGGTCACATTAGCCGCAGAACTGATGTTGAAGCCGGAAAGTTCTTGTGTGGAGACCACGACTCGGTAAACGTAGTGTAGGACGCCCTGAGACAAGATGGGATGATGATATTCGTAGGCTGCTAGAGTGGACTGGATGAGAGTAGCACAAAATCGGGAGCAGTGACGTGCATTAGGGGAGACCTATGTCTAGCACTGAACGAACATGGGTTGATGATGAAGCGTCTATAGGCTATGGTGAATGGTCGTTTGGCGCCTTTGTAACATAAAAAACACGTTTTCAGAAAACAAGCAGATAACCTTAGAGAGACTATACTCCGGGCACATGAAGTCTTCGTTAGAAATGCACGGGTTCCAAATATGCCTGCTGCACCTGGCGCCGGAGCACGCAGCTGGCTGGTTACGGTTGCTGGACACGGACACGTCAGCGCTCGCGTGGCCTGCGCCCGCGCCGGTCCGCGCAGGCGGAGGGGTCGGAGATTATGAGGACGCTACGGTGCAAACTAGTGATGAGAAGGTTAGTGCTTCCATTTTAAGGGACCGTGCTTCAAAAGAAAAAAACATATTTTAAGTGAAACTTCTTTACCTTAACATAAGTGACTGTGAACCAGTGTTGCGAGGTCCGATTAAATTAACATAGGTCAGTAACGAATGTGTTTCTGTGGCTTTTTTTGATGGGTAACAGCTTTACTCTCGCTTTCCTGCAATTTGTGGAAGTGATTTCGTAAATTGGGAGGGAAGTGTGTAACAGGAAGTCGCGAAAGCGCGCGCTATTTGATTTGAGAACATAATGTTTAACTGGCTTATTCCTTTTTTTTACTAATAAAAGGTGAGGTTTCAAATGTTACACATCATCATACGCGACTACTGTAAGGCTCGCTCGCTCTTTTTTGGACAGTAACATCTATTTTATAATAATTAAGGTTACCTACATTAATAATGGCAAAAAATGCAACTCAACATGCAATTTAAAAAGAAAATCGTATTGAGCAGTAGAGCAGGAGAAATTTCAGAAAAACAGGAGATCTCCTGTAAAGTCGGGAGACCTGGGGGCCATTCGCCTAACGGGATTGTTTAGGGAAATGCTATCGCTTACGATTTCATTTTGCTATTTCTGACCCCCGAAGGTTTCCAAATATCTCACGCTCATTTTCTTTAATATTGTTATTACCAATGCAAAAGAAAAAAAAAGAGCGAGGCATTTGAAAACCTCGGGTGGCTAGAAATAACAAAATGAAATCGTAAGCGAAAGCGTTTTCTAAAGCAATCCCGTTAGGCGAATAGCCAGCCCCCTGGTAACACGCAACAACGCAATGTGCCAAGAAGTGCTTGAGTGGTTTTCAAGCACTTCTTGATTGGGACACATTTTGAGCGCACGTGGTGTGTCTCGGGTATTTAATATCGTTGGGTTACACTTATAAAAGGATGATTGCTTTTAGAAATATGCTAAATCCACCACGCGGATGATGTGGTGACTGATTAAGTTTTCCATTTGTACCTTTACTTGGCTTTTATTATGCGTCTTATTAAAATTTAATATCGTCATCATCATCGCGGTCCTGCGTGGAATATTGCTCGCACCTCTGGGATGGCTCCGCTAAGTACTTACTCGATGCCTTGGATAGCTTGCAGCGGCGCGCTGCCCGCATCATTGGCGATGAAGAGGTAACTAAGAAACTCGAGTCTCTACAATTACGCCGCGATGTGGCATTATTAAGCGCATTCTACCGACTATACCACGGCGAGTGTTCTGAGGAGCTATTCTCGCTTATCCCTCCTTCACCTTTTCTTCAGAGGACCACGCGCGCTTGCCCCGTTGCCACCGACTTACTGTGGCCACTATTCGTACACGAACAAAGAAAGTTGGCGACTCATTTCTTTGTCGTACTATTCGTAAGTGGAATTCTTTACCCGCGCATGTGTTCCCTCCTTCCTATAATCTGGGGTGCTTTAAGAGAGGCGTGAAGAAGCATTTTTGCGGGCCGGCAAGGTGAGGATGGTTGGTGTAGCAGTTTATAACTGCTATACCAGCTATCTTCGCGTTTGGACTTTATCACCACTTAACATCAGGTGGTGTAGAGTCATTTGTCTACCTAGCTACATAAAAAAAAAACAAAATCTAAAGTCGTAAGTTGTAACGCTAGGCAAGCAGAACAGTAGACGTGAATATTAATGTATGTTCTATTGCAACGTTCTTCTTCTATTTCATAGGTCGCGACAGGTCCTTCTTTGTCGAGTTCGGAGCAGAGTCTATTACGAGACTGTCTGAAGACAGCTTCAGAGGCGCTGATTCAGAACGTGGAACTCCTCAACAGACTGGATTCTGGTTGCGGGGATGGGGACTGCGGGAACACTCTCAAGAGATTTTCGTTGGGTACGCGAGAATTAATTTCACAAACATAAATCAGTTGAAAATCAACATTATCTTAACTATCTTTTCGAATGAAATTCATTGTGATTATCTATTACACCAAGCTACCTACAGTCGTAATGCGAATACTTATAATAATACATATAAGAGAACATGGGGCCATTCGCCTAATTTTGGAAAACGCTGTCGCTTACGATGTCTGTTTTCCCGGACCAATACAATCTGCGCATCTTCAAGGCCAGAGTGAACAGGCATCTTCTAGGCGTGTACCATCCTAGGCCTCATCATCGCTTTCCATCAGGCGAGATTGTGGTCAAACGCCTTGCCTATTAAGCATAAAAAATAAAAGATTTAAACCTCGAGCAGTTACATGCTTCAAAAATAATAATAATATAACACTTACAGGATCTTTAATCTGAATCACAAACAGCTATTTTTGTTTGCAGCAATATTGGAGTATATAAGGACGGCATCTATGGAGTATCCAAGCAATGTGTTGTGGGACTTGTCGGAGATCGCGGAGCGGGACATGGGCGGCACATCCGGCGGCATCTACAGCTTGGGATTGTCCGCTGCCTCGCAGGCCTTAGCTAGGTAACACTACTATTTAAATAGTTAGATATTTCCAACATTCACACCAATTAGTCTATCCCTAAAGTAAGCATTGTAAGGCTCATGTTGTGGGATAATAGGATAACGGAATAGAATAAATACTGCTACATATAAGTACGTCGGGCTTTCCGCCACCGACTCTCGCAAGCCTTGGTTAGGTAACACTACTCTTTAAATATATTAATAAGTATTGTTAAATCTCACACCAATTAGCTTAGCCCCAAAGAAAGCACTGTAAGACTTATGGGATACTAGAATGTTAACTAACAATCTGCACTTGGCCTGCGTGGTGGGTGATATTCCAATCTCCCTGTTCCATCTTTAGGAAAGGCCTGTGTCCCAACAGCCTGATTAAAATGATATAAATAAATTTAACTACAAATACATACAAAGATCCATAATTTAGGGACAGATGCTCGTATTCATCTTACAAACATTTGCTATTTTTTTAAACACTTATTTATTTATTACATTTTAAGATAACATAATTGTGATGTAGAGGATTCGATAGTTGGCAGAGTAGCCCCATCAGAATCCGAGGCCGCGTCGAGATGCAGCCAGGGAGGTCGAATGGGTTGGAAAGACAGGGAGAGGAGAGGACGGTTTAATAATAGTGAGAGGCGAAAGAAGAGGAGAGGAAAGGAAACGAAACAGAAAATAAATAAATGGTTTAAAGGATGGGAGTAAGAGTGTAAGGGAATAGGTTTAACAATCTTGCATGATATACAGCCATTGAAGAAATATATTCAATATAAAGTGTCTCACAGACAGACGCCGCCTGCGGTTGCGGCCGGGGTCGTAGTGGTTAGAGAAATACACATAGGAGAGGACAAACATTTGCTTCACCGGGATTCTAACCGGGACCTCTGAGTAGACGATACCTCGAAACCCGGCGGCGTACATACCACTCGCGTTACGGAGGTCGTCAAATACATATTTTCACATCAAGTAAAAGAGGCTCGAGATCCGATATCATCAGACCCGTCTTTCCCAGTGGGTACTTTGGGCAAGTGCACAGGGTCCCGCGATCGATAGGGGGGACCCTCAGATCAAATACAAAGTCCCTAGTTCCTGTTAAATCACCAAATGGATGTCATAGGGTCCCATTATCCTAATATGCCCAGGGCCTGCAATAGCTCAAAGACGGCACTGGATATCATTGAAGTTGTGAAGGTGATTGAGAACCTCCTAATCTTGGAAGGTGAATGAAGGTACATCCGGATCCAAGCTTAATAACGTGAAGATTTTATCATTTGTTTCAGTGCAAACTGTAACGACGTGGCATCATGGCTGCTGGCGTGGGACAGCGCGACGCGGGCCATATCCAAGTATGGGGGAGCGGAGCCTGGTGATAGAACTATGGTATTAAGCCATACATTAAATTTCACTCCGACCGGTGGTCACACCAGGTTGTCATCATCTCCTATCAATACACTTTAATTTGTATATTGAATTGAAATTTAAAGATGTTTACAATTCCATTTCGCGAATTACCGTTAGAATCTTCTTAAACTCGAGCATCTATAAGACAAGTTTGGGTATACCACCCTAATGCGATTCAAAGGACATTGCTCTGCGTCCATACATAGTTAGCCTAAGAACCAACAATCATGAAATATTATTTTCTAGGTTCGAAATCGCAAGTAAACGACTGTAAAAACAAAGATTATTGACGGACACTTCTGAGAACTTAAATTATTAGGAAAACTAAAATATTTTTGAGGTTATGTTACTATTCAATGAAACAGGTCAACCTATGAACTTAGTATGAAGTGAATTAATATTACAACTAATTCATTTTATTCGGTGCGATTTTAAAGAATAACTATTAGGAAAAACTTGGTTAGGTAGGAATCATCAATGAAATAAAAACAATAGTTTTGCTTCTTATTATTTATTGACTATTTTTCACATAATTGTATCATATTGTATTTATTTGTTTAACACATGTATATTGTGTAAATATGCAGCGTGAATGTGTATCAGGTGCTCTTGAATAATTTGGCAGTATGATCCTCTCAGGATGTTGTGGCACAGGTTCACTAGCACTTGGTAATAAGGTCTCTGCACTTTGGTATGTTACGATGGAATATTAGATAGCCGAAATAGTAATAGTTAAATTAAAGGAAAAACAATCGCAAATAAACACACACAACAGATAATCCAAACGAGAATTTTCCGTATTTAAAAGTACTCTTTGACGAGATTGCACGAATGCCGCAGATTACTACGAATGCAAACTGCCTGCACCACAACCACAGAGTATAGAGTTTATGCCGGCCCTTCACTTGACAACAGTTTGTCCTTGTCATGCTGAAATAGGAATGAAAAGGACAGACTGATGTCATGTTTTTAAATAGCAAATACTAATAGCCAATTGAAGTGCCGGCATTAGGTAGAAATTGTTTTTTGTTTGCAGTGCTGTCATAGATTATACACATAAAATGGTATTTAATGTCTCAGATTATTTATTAACTTTTTAATTTAGCTTACTTAACTGGAAGTGTCCGTCACAATCTAAATACTGATAATTATCACAAAAAATATACTAAGAATTATCATAAATGCCAAATTGGTGTTGGTTCTTAGGCCAATTTTAACATTGTCCTTTGCGGCGGTTGTGAAGTTAGTCACGAGTCAAGATCGTTTTTCGTTACAAGAGCTCTATTATAGAATAAACAAGCCCTGTTTCTATTAAAATATGCTCCTTATTTTGCGACTACCCGCCAAAATCATAAGCATATATCAGAGACAAGCGTAGGAATACTGCGATTCAAACTTTATGGTAATTGTGAAGTTCGCAGCGAACGCTACTATGAGCAGGTTTTAGATCAGTGACGCGCGCCCACATCGCCCATAATTTAGTTTACTGCTCCGTGATATGTACTCACTTCACAACCTTTATCTACTCTCACATCTACTCACTTCACAATTTATGATCGTAATGCATGGACATAGTGTTTCTTGTAATTTGTTATTTGATGGGTATTAGTCAGTTTTTGTAACAGTAATATAGTGCTTATCTAATGCCGCTTCCTATATACTAAATATAAAATTTATTGTAACTATATATATATATCTATATCCTAAATGATGTAATGGAAGGTGATTTTTCAACTTGACGACTCTGTATATATCAATACATGGAGAAAAAAGCAGCCCTTGCTGAGTTTCTTGCCGGTTCTTCTCAGTACAAGGTCTCCCGCCGTAGTTTTGCGAACCGATGGCGTAGCTTCTGACCTTCACAAGTGCTAGTAACAGCCTAGACTGAATAAATGACTTTTCATTTCATTTCAACCGCTACTAAGTTTGTTCGAATCGCACAATAATCGTTTTTTTTTGTTTTCAGTTGGACAGTCTACAGACGGCGGCAGTTGCCTTCAAAGAGAACTTGTCGTTGGATATGAAGAGTCTGGTGCGGGCGGCTGCGGACGCGGCAGAGCGTGGTGCCGTCACCACGGCCGGCATGACTGCATCGTAACTATACTTTCATTTATTAAATTATACATTTATTTATTTATTTCATTAAATCCCCCCTTCCCCTTTCCGCCACCGGACGACCAGGCGCGGCGAGGGCTTCCACCCTTATGTTGTCGAAGTTCCTCCCATTCGCACGAAGCGATTTGCTTCGGCCTTCATTATGCGAACGGCTAGGGAGTGGAACTCCTTGCCGAGGTCTGTTTTCCCGGACCAATATAATCTGGACATCTTCAAGGCCAGAGTGAACAGGCATCTTCTAGGTAGGCGTGTACCATCCTAGGCCTCATCATCACTCTCTATCAGGTGAGATTGTGGTCAAACGCATTGACTATTATGCATAAAAAAAAACTGCGGCCTAGGCACGTCTTAAAGAGTACCGCGACGATGAAATCACTCACGCCAACGCGCCTCCGACTCCTCCCACACAGGCCACAAACACCAACACTACACAGCTAGCATACTTGCATACTAGCTTAGCTTTAGGCAGACACCGCACCCGTAGGATAAGAGTGCGAAGACCCGGTCTGCACATGACACGCTATACCAGGTACGTATTTATACCTGGGCGTTTTTCCACGCCCCCCACGACAACAGTTAACTAGAGCCGGGGTCCGCCCTCTAGTTGAGCTAACCCCCTCAGGTCCGAGTGGTCTAGAGGCTCCAGACGGAGAAGAGACTCTCCCGTGGGGAGATGCCAATTCTCGGCTTGAGGTCCCCTTAAGATGTCGCCGTCCCCAAGCCCGGTCTTTTGCGACCAACAGCATATACACTTAAAAAGTAAAATATGCTTTCATTATCATTTAAGACAAGTTTAAGCCTCAGCCCAAAGGCGCGTTTTTATCGGATTCGTTATTGCGATATTTCGGCATATTTCTATTGCGTCGTTATTATCGCGTCTAATTCCGTAGCCGTTCGGATACATAATGTACTAAAACAGGTATTGCAATAAAGCATCCGATAGTGGTGTCGATTCTGGCGTGATTCTCTAAACTTAAAACTAAATTTAACATCAGTCTCTCCTTTTCATTCTGTATAGAGAACGACGAGGATGCACTGTTGTCAAATTTAAGTTTAGCTTTAGAGAATCTTGCCAGAATCGACATCATTATCGAGCTATAATAACGCGCCTATGGGGGCTTTACAGACAAGAGATTGAGCCACACACAAGGGAAGGTACACGGCATAGGACGGTATGGCAGCAGGAAAAATCGTCTGTCACATCAATAATGAACACGAATGAAAAACTAATAACTTTGTTTCAATTAACTTGAAGTATGGCTGTCTGTACACGAATCTGAATGAGGTATTTGGCAAGTTTTAGAAGACGATCTCACGTTATTTACTAATATTTATTGAGTCCATATGAAGTGCATATTATATCATTATTATGTTGTTTTTCAAGTTGCCGCGAAAACGTCTCTTTGGACATTATGGCGTCTCACTAGTATGTGTAGTCATACGACTGTCATTAAAGCCGTTAAACGATACAATGTAATGTCACTTCGACCGGAGTTTACTAGCGTGATACGTCATTTTAGTCTTCGCCAATCCCATGCGTTTTCGGTCACGTGATCGTAAAAATGGTCTATTTATTGAGTTTTAGTTTTTGAGTTGAAAGTAATTAAAGTTATTTGATCTCTCAGTTTTTTTTATATTAAATACAGATGCCAACAATTGGTACTTTATTTCTCATACTGTCAAGCAGGGCTTGAAACCTGTTTCAAAAATACCGGTAAATAAAGGTTAATACAGTTTTTAGTAAAGGTTTCGTTCTGAGCGCGTCCGAAATGAAAGCGGTACCTAAAACCTTAATAAACCGATTTAATCCAGAGCGACACGTGGACGCGTCGGCATCGCTTGAAGTTTGTTTTGTTCGAACTAATCAAGTCACAACTTGTTAATGCTCAGAGATTGATGCATTTATTGACACGTTTGCTAGCGGCTAGTGAGTCAAGTTATTCATTCTATAGTTGTTAATTTATTTCAGCCGTCAGTAAGAGCGAAATGAAACCCTTTAAAAAAGTGCTAAATTGACTCAAAACCTATTTGATTTCGCTTTTTAGGAAAACCGGTTTTTTAAGGTTAAGGTAGAGCCAAACCTAAATAAAACGCTCCTAATGTACTTGACACTGATTTAGGTTTGAAAATTAACCGGTAAACAAACCCTGCTGTCAAGTAGTCTAAATACACTTAATACTATAGGAATACTCATAGACAGAGCATAGCGAGATTCATCGTCCAAGGGTACGTTCACAGCACAAGCGCCCTTTTAAAAGACGACTCCGGAAATTTTTATGCACTATCGCTTCCCATAGTAACAATTTTTCTCGTTTCCAGGGCAGGAAGGGCGTCCTACGTGTCCAGTGCTTACCACGGCGACGAAGACGCTGGCGCCCGCGCAGTAGCGATATGGCTTCAAGCTATCTTCAACTGTATCTCTAAACAATTATAGGCGAATTTTCAATAAGCACCTTTGTTTTTTTTGCTATTAGGAAGAACCATTACGTTTTCAACTCTTTAAAAATGGCGACGCAAGACACTCTGTCCCTCTCACAGATTCAAACACGAATATGTGTCATAAAATAGAATGTTTTACGTTATTTTGTTTTCCAGTTACATGATTAATTATTTTGGATAAAATATTTACTATAAATATTTTTATTTTAATGTAAAAAAGGTTAGTAATTATTTAATATGAAAGGCGGACAAAAGCACACTGTTATAACTATTAACGGGATCACGGAGTAACTGAAGTAATTGCGGGTAGATGTTATTGGGTGTCGGAAACAAGAGCGAGTGAATAGTGAGAATGTGACCAGTGGTAGGGGTATCGAGCGCAGTAAAAGACGACGTCAGAGGGTAGACCGATATGTCTGCCAATAACATCTACCCGCAATTACTTCAGTTACTCCGTGATCATGGCGCTTGCAACAGTGCCGAAATATCGGAGACTTATAAAAAACAAGGTACATGGTAACAATCCCGTTAATAGCTATAATGTTAGTGACCATGAAAGTTTAAAACAATATAACAGAACACTGTAGTTCACATTAAACAATGCTCAATGTCACGTAAATTTTATTTCGATTAAAATTCATTGTTTGATTAAAATATCCCAAACAGATTTATATGTAAGTCAAATCAAATAACCCTTTTTCGCTGACGTTTGATGGTGTGCTGCAGTAAAGGATAATGTTGTTTCTATTGTAAATATTTAAATAATACTTCGTTTTAACAATTATCAGTTTATTAATAACATTTTCAGCATCTAAATTTTCTATGTTACAATAATGTACGGAATCATTCTATACACAAAATACATCGATGTTGGTGACACGAACGTAGAGGCACTGGGGGATTATTCTGAAATAACGAAATGCGTTTTACAATTTGTGAAAAGGAGTATTTTATATTATGATGGAGAAAAATACTACTCAAATAAGGCTTTATGGTCTTTTGTTCCCAAAGAATAATAAAACATGGGTAACAATTTTAGTAGCTACTAAGTTCACAATAGGAATGATGACTATTTTTTTTTCTTCGTTTATCAGGTAGATTATCAAAGAGTATTGGACACGTATTTTTTCTTTTTTCACATAATATAAACATTGCAGAGATATATTGATTTGAAAAGTCGCATGACGTCACGTTTGAGTACACTTTTAAGTGAAAATTCACTAAAAAGTGACGCCACGAGCCCCTACTCCCAAACTTTAACGCGCTATAACTTTGTCATTTATTGGTTGATTGCCTAAAGAAAAAATACGTGTCCATTATTTTTTGATCATCTAACTGACGGACTAAATAGAATTTCGTTTACTGTACCCCGTAATCACCTATTATCATAAAGTTTGAATCGCAGTATTCCTATGCTTGCCTCTGATATATACTTATGATTTTGGCGGGTAGTCGCAAAATAAGGAACATATTTTAATAGAAACAGTGCTTGTTTATTCTATATTAGAGTCTCTATTCGCGTCGCAGTAAAAGAAACGGGGACAATATTATGTCATCCTCTAAACCAATACATTCTTGTTCTGTGATTATGTCTTTTCTGACTTCAAATTTATAATAGCGATAGGAATAGCACAATTCAGTTTCATCTACAATAATCGCATTTTATTTTTCGGAATAAACTCCCCAGTATAACATTTAAAAAAGAGAAGAAAAAAGAAAGAAATTTCATTCTGAACGAATTTAGTACGAGTTTGAGCTCACCAAAACTATGACAGTTTTCGTAATTGTAAATTATGTTTCTATGTCCATTTTGGTAAAAAGTAACCAATATATACTTAAAATTTAAGAAGACGCAAATGATTTAATGGTAGAATTTAAACACTGTTTATTTGTATTGAAACGAAAACAATTAAATCAGTACCTGCGAGCTCACGACAACTATCATAGTTTTCGTAATTGTAAAACTCTGATATTGATACGAAAGCCACCTTTGGCTCTGTAACTATATTGGTATGAATTGAATTAGACATTAACAAAATGAACAAAATTAGTACTATCGAAATTCAACAGTGAGGTTGTAGATGTAGGTTTACAATTACAATTACAAACTTTCTGAACATACATCGGTGTCGATTCTGGCATCATTCTCTAAACCTAAACTTATTTTTGACAATAGTGTAACAAGCAACAACTTATTTTCTATACAGAATGAAAACGAGAGACTGATGTTAAATTTAAATTAAAGTTTAGAGATTCATACCAGAATCGACACCACTATCTACACAGTACTTAAATATCTAAAACTATTACAAATTTTATAAACAGATTACATTACAAAAATAAATACAAATCCACCATGTCTTTTTTCAAAATGAGAACTATACTAAACATTTTTCATTTAAGAAATTGAACTATCCAAATAAAACATAGAATAATAATAATTATAATAAAACAATAAAAGTTTTATTATAATTATAATAAATATTAGACAACGTCATATACATTCGTAGTTTTCATCCCAAGGCAAGGCAAAATCAAACAAAATTAAAAATGATTCACTTACATTGGAAGACCTACTTTTTTAATTGAGATCCTTTAATACTACACAAGTCTATTTCAATGGTCATTTAATTATTTCATTACATTAACGTATAAAAACAAGTAGACTTCTAAAAGCCTAACAAAAGTGCATCAAAAAACGTCCGAGCGGCGTCAACAACTTATACAGATGACATTGACACATTTGTTTAAATTAACAAGTTATGTCGTGGCAGTAAGGTTCAATGCCAATTGTATACGAGAAAACTTTAACAGATATTTTTGAAAATTACGCACAATAGACGAACGTGCGTAATTTTGCTTCCGACATTTTTCGAGCGCGATTGTGAGTCTACTCGTTTTTATTCGTCAATGTTTCATTACCAAAAATGTATTATTATTGCGTATGATATGTCAGGCACATTGGTTTATTGTATCTGTGATAAAATAATTAAAATATTATGTTGCAAAGACTTAAATCGTTACGTTGCATTCGTCAAATACTAACAACGAGGAGTATTTCTTAATTGATATTAATGATATGCACCAATTTTCTACAATAAATGAACAAACAGTAAAGTGCTCTGTCTGTGACTCTATGGTCTGTTATTGGAAAGTGGGCTGAGACTAGACTGTGTTGTTATATTCAAAGGACTGGAATTAGTCCTTTGAATATAACAACACACACTAATTGAAACAAGCAGCAAGCCAATGGAAAAGTTTACGCAAAGCTCAACATTGATGGTGTTGCAAACGCTTGACCAAATTCTATTTTAGTCGGTAATCATGCAGTTTATTTCATTCTAATGAGTAAAGTATAACCACATTCTTGTTCCATCTGAGGAATAGTAAGTACCTCTTGCGTGTGTTATTTAAAGATGGCTAAAGAAATGTAATAAAAATTACTTCAGTCAATTATTATTTTACAGATTTGATAAAAACCCTGATGATAGTCTACATTTATATCAATCTAGATATCTGATGATTTTAAAGGCAAGCAAAAGTGGCGATTACACTTTTATCAAAGGAATTGGTAGAGCAGCAATGAAAAGACTGCAGTATGAAATAAATATAAAAATACAATAATGACAATATTGAAGAAAGTACATGTGAATGTGTTGCTGGAAGTGGCACAACGGCCCATTGCAAACATGTTGCTTTGGTGTTATATGCTGGAGAGCATATGGAAAATATTCTATTAAAGTACCAGACACGTACAGAAAAATTGCAAATTTTTATACAAAGGACAATGCTCAAAAAATACCCAGGCCCGGCGCAAACGAAACATATCTCATTTGATTAGTAAAAACTAGTAATTTAATACTAAATAAAAAACTTAGTCAATATTCGTTTCTAAACGTAACATTTTGCTAATTCTTTTTTACGGGTGTAAATGATGATTTTGAATGATGTTCATAGAAATCAAACCAAAGCCTTTCCGTCACATCAAAAACGAACCAACATTCAACTGCTATTTCACTCGCACTCATAGGTTCGCTGTATTCTCGAACCTTATCAGGTAGTGTAACGTCCGTTACATTACAGCCTCCTTGTTTAGGTAAACTCTTTGTTCTTGCAATGCCTACGGTTGGCAGTTATATTAAAAAGTTAATGTCATGATTTTAAGATTTGAAATAAGGAATCATCTGACTTTTTGGCGGGATCGGGAAGCGTCACTTTAGCAGTTTTGTTTTTCTTGTTAAAAATTGTGTTGTGGCGGATGTTAGTGTCTAATAATGGTGGATTATTAACCACTAAGTGTTCGGAAACATGCACAAGTGTTGGCAAGTGAAACAAAATAGCGGAAGGTGTCTTTCGACGTTCCCTCAAGAAGTCCACGGGGAGGTTCCAGTAAATCCCCACACATTTACTGAAACATAGGGAAAGGGGTATTGACTTGACTGCCACTTACTTTGACTTGACTAATATTTTGACCACGAGTGCTATAAAATATGTAAACATTTTACACTTGACATTGGCTAAATGCACAAACCGTGCGAAGCCATACAGAAAAAAAAAAAAAAAAAAAAAGGAATCATCTGTCTTTTGATAGAAGGTTCCATACAAGAGGCGATCTTCAGGCACCAACCCTTGCGTAGTTAAGATAAAAATAATTATATTCGCCTGAAATCAAATAAATATTTTTTAAAATGAACAGGTGTGTTGTGTGTGATCGTTCACTGTACCGAGGTGTTCGTAGACACGTTTTGACTCAACGTTTTTTCGATTCCCGGAGAGACTTGGCTGAGCGGATTTTCCAGTACTTGCAACCGCTACGAGAGGTAAGACAACATCATTGTTTATTTATTTTTTATTTGTGTACCTACGTACTTTCAAGTAGGTCATAATAGGTCAGCCCGGCGGGAAGGTATAAGACAAACCACAATACTGTCTGTTACGACGATCTCTATATTTCTCTATCCTTCAACTAACCTTACATACATCTTATATATCGTAGACGTGTAGATATGTGGGGAAGGTACTAGGCGCGCGATGATAGCCTTTCCTTAATCGGACACGTGTGCACTATCGTCACGTTCCTTATCACAATAACATATAATTATTTGTTACAGCTAGCTTTCGACGGAACAATGTCGTTATGCTATCCTTGTTGGCATAGAATTGACCAAACCTTACGTCCTGAACCGCCAGAGCCTCCTATCCGTCGCGCTGACGCTGCAATCACAGTTCCAGGTTTCACAAGAGCGGCCAACACTTCCCGTCGTTGTTTGATGGAGAACTGTGGTAACATGCAACTCCGGCTAATGCCTAATTCAATCAAGATATTTTTACTCAGTTACTATCGTCTATACATACCGCAGCATGCAAAGATTTGTGAAAATCATCTACTTAACACACCCTTGGAAGACATGCTTAACAATGTGTCACATCATCAAACAGACTTTAATAGTGACACTTTTGTAGATATTGTGAATATGTATACCCGAGCACTGGAACGGAGATGTTTACTGGATTTCGATAATATAGACGAAATAGCACAAGAAGATTTGCATTTCTGGACTGGCTTGCGTCACGAACAATTCAATACTCTATTCGCGCAAGTACCGACCTTGTCTAACACATCAAGATCTGCACGAGAAGATCTAGGTATTTACCTCTCTAAAATAAGAACAGGCGAACCCAGTACTAGACTGGCAACGATTTTCAATAAATCTCGGCAAAGTATAGACCGAAAAGTCAAATTGGTGAGACAATGTATTCGCAATGATTTTGTTCCTTTACATCTGAGCCTTGACCACATTAGCAGAGAAGAAGTAATCCAAAGAAACCGAATTCTTCCCAACTACATATTTGGAAACGACCTAGCGCCGAAAGCGTTGATAATATGTGATGGTAGTTACATTTTC